TAAATGGTGATCGAGACACCTGGAAACTTCGTGACCTACTTTTTCCCCTAGAATACGCACGATGCGTATAGTAAAGAAGAGAAAAAGATATCCTCATCTTGTGTCTACACCCTACACTAGTGTAGGGTAGGTCAGCGAGGGAGCGAGAGATCCGACTGCGCGAGAAGAAAAGAAGAATAAAGCATATGAAGCTGATGTTCCTTTCAAGAGAAGCATATTACATCCAGAATTTGCCAAATGATCCACTCTTCATTTTTGACATATTTTTAAAATACCCACAGTCAACTTATTAAACTATTGAAGAGAGTATTCAAATAAAAGGCATCTCCATAACTAAGAGCCACAATTATTACCTAAAGTACCTAAATAAAAATTCAAGCCATATAGATTACTATAAGTTCGCGTTTGAATAAATCGTTTGCAGACAATATGCAAATTAAGTGAAGAATATATCGGTATCAAGATCAACCTCGTTAAGGTAAATTTATTGAAATTCGAATTCTGCAGGGTTGACTCTAGGTACGGGGACTGCAAAATTGTTTCCGGAGGAGATTAGTGCATCCTTGCTTGAATTGAGAACCCCTACATCGCGGAAATTTTAAAATGCCTCGATCTCGTGATTGGATGCCATTAGGATAAATCAGGTGAAAAGATTCATGCAGATAATTTAAACTATTTTAGGATTGAATTTCTATTATTTTAAATAACTATTAAATGAAAAAATATAAAAATTTGTCAAGATATTCGAAAGGCTCTATTTGTATTTCTTAAATGAAAATCCTTTCTCATTCATTATATCTTTTGAGGGTAAAATGTATGAAATTAATTAATCTTATTGATAGCACCTCATTGACCATTCGCGGTATCATTAATACAAAACCAGAGTTTCTAAGGATGCACCATCGATTTGAGTATGCAACACGAATTCCCTTTCCGCGAAAATTCCCTTTCCTCTTATTTTTCCCATCGATCGACCACAGTCTGCTGGTTCATACTTCTTACGCTCTACCCGTTCATCCACTACCCTTCTGTGAATCGTGTTTTATACATCGGGAACCATCCTCTGGTACCGTGTCAGAACGGTGATTATTTATGACTGACCGAGAATCTCCCGCCTTCCAGCTGGGAATATCTCTATCAGTATTTGATCGATCGAACTAGCAACTCCTAAATTATTGGACCGGTTCAAGGCTGAATCGAACAGAATTTCTGTTTTCTTCTTATATTTCATTCCTCCTCCAGTCGGGATTAGAATTGTTGTTTATCCAGCCAGTTGAAAATTGCTGGCATAAATCATAGCATTTTAATATTTAAAGGGTGTTCGAAGTTGGTATTCAATGATTTCTAATTAATACTACATACAATTACCAATGAATCAAGATGACTGATTTCAAGTTTCTTATTAAAATTATAAAATTTTTCAAAATGTTTTTGTTGGAATATATGCTGACATTCTTTATCCATATATTTTTCTATTTTTTTCAACACTTTGGTTCTAATTAAACCACCTCATTAACATTTTAAATATTAACAATTCGTCAATTCGTCAAATATTGACAATATGCATCGATCGTATGAAAACCTTTCTACTTTCAAGAAATATCATAGAAAATATAACTTTTCTTTTGAATTATTAATAATTAGTGTCCTTAATTGAAAGTTGAATTAACATGTTAAGTTTCTCTGAAAGGCTAATTCAAAGAAGCAAGTCCCAGCTTTCGCTCTAATGAAGAGTCTTTTGAAAGGGTTAAATCACTTCCCGAACTTTCCAATCGCTTTTCATCCCCTCTATTTTTCTCTTTTTCACCGCACACTGCTCACAAGAGCGTTTCGGTAGCTCCGTAGAATTACTTGTTAGTGTCGTCGCGGAAAATTAAGTACCGTCGAAGGAAGCGTTTCATTTCAAACACCAGCTGGCCCGGCAAATTTCGTAGAGCTGAATATTTCGTGGTATATACGCGAGAGTTTCCCTGCATTCTTAGTACGCTGCATAATGACATGGAAACGTATTCTTCCCGCCTTGTACTCGCGACGTTTTTTTAGAACATCGTCATTTCAATCGCAAGCTGGCACATTCTTTCTCCCCGACGACGGCAGCCTAAAGAGATTGAAAAGTGAAGAAGCCTCCCCTGTTCCGCGTAAAGGACAGACACGTGTGAACTAATTTTTCATCCTTTCATGATTTTAACCCCTTTGCCGTTAAAGATCTTCTTTGGCCCTAGACTGTCCGTCTATGGTCTTACAGACTAACGCGATGATTAATATTAATTATTTTAATCCATCTTAAATCTGTATCGTTTTTCGCTGTTTCAGCTGATTATGATATTTTTTTAATTTTTCTAATAAAGGCTATACTAATTACCTTACAGAAATATTTCAACAAATAAGAAAATAAATAATTATCTCACAGAAATGTTTGCGTAATTTTATTTTTTTATTAATGTAATTTGTAATTTCCATACTATATGCAAATAATTTGAAACATCTTGTACTTTGTAAAAGAAAGCTGAACCTCGGGTGGAATAAGAAGAAGCGAGGAAAGACTATTTTTTTATCAGAAGAGGAACAAAGATTCTGCAAAGAAAAGCAGTGTCGACACTGAATGTATTTTCTACGGCCATTTGTTCTCTGACTCCACGGAAAAGTGGATTAGATGTTTAGAATGTTGAGATTGAAAAAAGGACCAAGATGAAGACGTGTAAACAGTTTTATCGTAAATGGAACAAAAAGTATTATCATAGTTTCAAAAATTATTTATCTACTTTATTTTTTGTATTTATCTACTCTATCTATTTACCTATTCATCTATTATCTACTACCTGTTATTTGATTTAAATATTGATTTAAAATGAAAATCAGTTGTTCATCTAACAAAAAACCTTCTAATTCAATAAGAAACTCATTTCCGATGCGAGCACATTAAGTGCAAATGTGCTTACTTATGAAATATACATACAGTTTAAATGAGGACAGATACAAGTTAGTTTCACGCTAGACTACAAATTATTCTGTGCAGATGTCTCTAGGTTTATTGGTAGCAGAAATTTATGTCCCTGCAGACTTAAAATCCTAACTACAGCATGCAGCTGAAATATCCTATGCATTTATTCCACGATCACGTTATGTGTATATCTTATTCTAAAACTGTGCAGTTATAGGTAAGTACGTGTACATCGTCTTTGTAAATTAAAAGTATCAAGAGAAAGATAAAAACCAGGTGGAATTTAAATTAAACGAATAAAAGTTTATACTAAAAGGATAAATAAGTATGTTAAAGATTATCATTTAATTGGAAAATTCAAAAAGAGAACGTGTAATTAAACATAAGTTTATTAAAGATAAATTTGCCATTCTGTTTTTTTATTATTATTAATATTCGGGGCTCAGCTACTATAATTTATCTAATTCAATCCAACCCAAATCTAATCTAACTATAATAAACAATATAGACTGAAATCTGAATCATAGAAAAATGAGTTTCAAGTCATACTTAGAAACGAGTAGTAAACTCTCAATTGGATCTTAACGAACAATTGTATCATCGTAAATCAATAATCTTTCATCTGTAAAGTGTTAAATCCTCGGTAATCAAAACGATAATTAGAATGCCCAAGATAGCATGTAACTCCCAATGAAATTACATTCCTTTACGCTTCTGCAAGCATCGCATAGGAAACCTGAATCTTGTTCGAGTTACAGAAAAGTGGGTTAATTACAGTCTCCGAATGTTATATTTGTTGAAGCAATATGACGTTTATTTACTCCCACCACTTAATTGCAGATTTTAATTCCAATTTAATTCACACGTCTATATAAACTCTACTTTGTCACTATTATAATGATCTTTTAACTATAATAATTTAAATATTTCTTTTGCCTATTTTTAATATCATAAATGATGTCAAAATAATTATATATATATATATTATTATTATTATTATACTCTAAGCCCTAAGTAAAACGATTCTGTTTTTATTGCCACTAACTGAAAGTTTCTTTTCAGTAATTATATTTCGTGGTTCACCAGACAATTCGAGGATTTTCTCTATCTCTAGGAAGTAGATACCTTTCTTAAAAGTACGGTTGTAGATGTAGGTCGTGGATAACTCGCGAGCTCTTCTGTATGCGATAACGTTTTCACGCTGTAAAAAATAACGCATTACTACCACTACATTATCATCCAACAACGGAAAATACTTTGCCTGTGGATTGCTATGAAAAGTCGGTCAGAAACTTGCTTTGAAAATTCTTAAGCTCCTCCATTGAAGTTATTAATTACGAACAATGTTGGAATTTATCCCATTCCCGTGATTTATATCAATAGTTTTCTACTTGTTCTCAAAGTAATGGCTTCCTCTAAATCTGTTGATTGCTTTGATTACTTGCTATGAGATTTTCAACAAATGTTACGAATTTAGTACCTCTTTCGCCAATTTACCCCTTCCGAATGATTCCTTTAAAAGTCTACGTACGTATAAAAACAATACTGTTAAAATATTATTATTATTAACATTGTAATTTAACATTGCATTTTTTATTGAAACATATCTATTATTTTTTTAATTTTTCAATCTCTAATGGTCTGCTATTCAACACTAATTGAAAGTCTCTGGTGAAATGTCAATTTCATTAGTATTATTTCCTTCTGTAACAGTTGATATAAAAAACTTCAACAATTTTTAACTTTTGAAAACGGAAGTTATCTTTCAGTAAATTTTCCTCCGGTCCTCGAATTTCTCTCTATTCTCGATATTATTTTCCTTCGAGCATCCGCAGTAACAGAGATACTTAGGTATACCCTTTCAGAACCTTCTCCTCTGTACATTGTTCTCTTTTGTGGAACGTAAGATTACGTTGGCAATCGAGAGTGATCGAGGCAACATAAAACCCGGAAACGTCTTGTTCGATTGCCGTGAAAGAAGTAATTGGGATAAAGAGTCTTCTTCTAGTTTTACAATGCCCGGAGGTTCGAAAATCATCGGAGAAAATTTATCTTACAGGAAACTGTATGACACTCGGAAATGCCCAAATTGTTGAGCAGAGATCGTCGTCGATGGACCGGGGTTAAGCGTCATGGCGAATCAAACGACCAATTACTATGGGGACGTTTATCAATGGAATAGCACCGTGTCGACGACCGAACGAAATATCCAGGCGGAATATTATCTACCGAATTGGACGGACCTCGTTTTAGCCGGCCTTTTCACCATGTTAATCATCGTCACTATAGTAAGTTTTCCATTTTCTTTCTTTTCTTAGTTTTAAGGTCTAATTGGCAAGTATATCAATTCTTCTAATTTTGGGTATTAGGGTAACTAGGAGCCTGGGTGGTTCTAGTTTTCCATAATATCTAGACTGGCTTCTTCATCGTTCTGAGATTCTGAGATTCTAAAATTCTAAGATTCTAAGATTCCAATATTTTAATGTTCCAATGTTTTATTCTTCTAATGCCCTAATGTAGTAATGCTCTAATGTTCTAATGTTCCAATGTTCCAATATTTAAATATCCTAACATTCCAATATTCTAATGTTCTAATGTTCTAATGTTCTAATGTTCTAATGTTCTAATATTCCAATATTCCAATATTCCAATACTCCAATGTTCTAATGTTTTAATATTCTAATGTTCCAATGTTCCAATATTCCAATATTTTAATATTTCAATATTCTAACACTCTAATATTCTAATGTTCTAATGTTCTAACATTCTAATATATATTCTTCTCACTCATGTCATGTCATTTTAGAGTACCCGAATATTTCTAATAATCCTATTATTTTTCTGTTAGCTATGTCTGAGAAACGGGTATTGAAATACCGAGTGACATTATCGAAAGAATTTGATTTGGTTGCTGGTATTTGCTTTGCCCTTTATTTTAAATTCCAAGGCAGCATATCGCCTGAGGTGTTTAAAAGTTTCTGTATACTGATGGATTCGAGGAGAAATTCAAGTTTCGAAAACTAACATTTTCTTTAGTGTAATATAAAATCAACCATACATAGCAGGTACATGGTAGCTATACAATAGCTACATATGTAATAACTATGTATACAATAGATGATTCATAGCAGCTGCACAATAACTGTACGTGGTGAATTGCACAATTAAAAGGGCTTACAATTTAATCTTGCTTCGAGATCGAATAAAAAAATTGTGAAATTGAAATTGAATATTGCAAGAATATTTATTTTTCTGTGAGCCCATTTATAAGTACGATACGATAAAAAAAATGAAAAAAAAAATTGATTTTCCAAATTTTTTTAGAAAATGCCTCACTCTCAAATTTAAAACATCTAATGAACTATTGATATTTTTAAACTTATTACTCCTTAATACCTTCTTACATAAAATTCCCGAATCCACCTAAAAAAGAAGATTCAATTCCAATGAATTTCTCTGAATAAAATACAGATTTTCTATTTTATCACAGGTAGGCAACACACTGGTTATCGCGGCTGTGATAACAACTAGGCGCCTTCGATCCGTAACTAATTGTTTCGTATCCAGTTTGGCCGCTGCGGATTTATTGGTCGGCCTGGCTGTAATGCCACCAGCAGTATTATTACAGGTATATAAAGGTACTTCAAAACGGTGTAAACAATAGAAAATCATTGGTCAATGATGTTCACGTAGTCGTTCATTCGCGAAGTTCATCCTACCATACAATAATAATGGACCAAGAGACAAAAATGAAAAAAAATTCTCGATAAACTTTATGGTACGCGAACACATTCGAAATGCAGTGTAATACAACTGTTGTTTAAATTAAAAAACACTATTAATTATTGTTCACCGCTTATTAATTAACGGGGTATTAAATCACCATTGGACACTGGATATTAATTACTTATAGGAATGAATAATTATGATTTGACGATTATAACATTTAATAATAAGACTAGCCATTTGAACAGTGACCATTTAGAATAAGAATTGTAGATTCTTCATTTGCTTTTCGAATGTGTTTGCCACTTGGCTCAACAACGTCACGTGACGATTACCAACATTGATCCTTCGTTCTTCTTGAAAAGCGAAGAGCAATTTTGCATATAGATTGAAGCGGAGTCGACTCATAATGAACGAAGCGATCCAATCAACTAAATCCTACGGAGACGTTTCTTAAAGTCAAAGATTCTCATTGCATAGTTACATTCTCTTATTTACGAGAATAGCAAGTTCAGAAATTATCAGACACAGAAGAGAAATAATAGTGTTTTCAAGTTCAGTGTAAATTTTTTGTTACTGCTTACTTTGCAAATTTGATTGATAAAATAACACTGTACTTTCGAGGATCTCTGTTAGTAAACGACGCAGACTATGAAGGAATACGAATGAGTATAACGAACGGAGGATAGTCTCTGAAGTATCCTTCTGGTTCGAGAATAATTCACTTCTAGCTTCTTTTTAGTTGACGAGCTAAAGCATTCGGTGTAATTAACGGAGCTCAATTAAACCTGAATCTTTTATAACCTATCCACTTCATCAAATTGTTCGTTAATTCCTATCGAATGGTAGCATTCAGTCTCTACCTTATGCATACAAAACAGTCTTTATTTTATGGTTTCTATTCTATTTCCCATTCGATGTAACAGAAAATAAATATGAAAATACCCTTGAAGAAGTCTCCTCCATTTACCTTCAATCCTTGAGGTTTAATCCCTTGGATACATTTACGGATTACAATAGAACAGGGTAAATTGATAGAAAGAATTTGCAAAGCAAATTAAAAGTTTCAACGCGATAGAAGTAGCGATCGCTTTGAAACACAAATTCTTTTGCTTTTTATTAAACAACGCACTAGTTTAATCAAACAAATTTGACGAAGCTCACAGGTGGTACTTGGGAGTTGGGTGCGGTACTCTGCGACTCGTGGGTCTCCCTCGACATCCTTCTATGTACTGCCAGCATTCTATCGTTATGTGCCATATCCATAGACAGGTAAGTCATTTCAGTAACAATTCTACTCAAAATAGCAAACCATAGTACAGTAGACTCTCGTTATATCGCCTTCGGGAGGTCTGAAGGGGTGAAAAATTTGTCAAACTTCCAAGGTTTCATTTTAAGGGGAAAGAGAAAATCAAAATAAAATAAAATTTTTATAAATTATCATAGTGGATGAATGGTACTAGTATGCTTTAAAATTTATGTAAATGTCAAATCGCTCACGTGGCAATATAACGAGAGTCTACTGCATTCGAGTTAACGCACTATGGATCAATTTTTCCTTCCATTTTTCTTTTCAACATTATAATTATAGAAATAAATTCCAAGAATTGCTTTATCAAATTTTTCTTTCAAAAAATAGTTTGCACTCAATTAAACATAAATGAAGTCTCGTATTACATGACACATGTTTTAAGAGCTCACAGTTTTATCTTTCAACGGAATTCAAATGTACGATAAATGGAATGCTCAAAGTGGACCGTAAACTTGGCAAAGAACTTTTAATTTTCAACGATGACCCAGCAAACTCTTTTATCTATAAGCAAAGATCGATACAAAGCGCAAGCACAGGGAAAAGCTTATACGTGATCGGCCAGTTAATTTGTAGCAAAACTGTGTCTTCTTCTTGTTCACAGGAAATCTCCTTTAAAGTTCGCGCGATCCCTTTTTCTACAACATTCTCGTCAACTAAACGGGAAACTTGCACTCGTGAAATTCGATAGGACGTTTTATTCATGGCGCATAAGAAAATATTACCAGGGTAATCTCGTTTCGTTTACGTGCCATGGTTTCGAAAATAGAGGAAACGATTGTACATGATAGGCGTTTGTGTTTCAGAAAAATTTCGAAATAAGATTTTCTCAGATAATTTAGAAACCACTCGACGAGATCATTTGAAAGATTTCGAAAGATTGCAATCAACGACGGAATTAAAATTCCTTTTAATCGTTTCACAAATTGCTTCATCCACTTTGAAAAATCATTTCTTTCGCTGCATGAAATGAATTTAACGTTTCTGTGGAAAGTTTCTGAAAAGAGTGTAATCATCATTGAAGGTACCTAGCCGTAACTCAACCACTGATATACAGTCGACGACGAAGAAGCAAAAGATTAGCTGGTCTGATGATCGTTGCTGTGTGGGTGTTAGCCGGTGCTATAACCAGTCCACCTTTACTAGGATGCTTTCCACGGGCGACAAATCGTGACAGTAAAAAATGCTCGTACAATATGGACTCCTCGTACGTGATATTTTCCGCTATGGGTTCGTTTTTTTTACCCATGCTGGTAATGCTTTACGTTTATGGTCGGATATCCTGCGTGATCGCCAGCCGGCACAGAAACCTCGAAGCCACCGAGACCGAAAATACTCGACCACGACGAAACGTTTTGGTAAGGATATATCTTCAAATCCATTATCTTTATTATGTACACACATCCCCGCCAAATAAAATTGCCACCTCTAAAAATGATATGAAAAGTGGTGTAATCTTCTCTTCAATGAAAAAATTTAAAAACCGGTCAATGTCGATTAATAATATATGAACGTGAAAAATATACAACTAAATCAGAGGAACCTTTTGTACAGATATTTCCCATAAATATCGAAAAAGAATTTTTTTCAGTAGAAAATTCTATTTGAAATTCTCCTGATTCATTGACTGGTGGCACGAATCGAACGCAGATTTCACTTTGAATGGAAAGAGCGAGGAGCTCGTGTAAATGAGAAATCGATTGGCAATTTGAATCTATTGATACTAATGCTTGCAAACCTGTTAAGACGGCATAGTTCGACAGCTTTCCACTGCCAAATGAGAAACACGTGAAGATGTATTTACGTGTACCTTAAATTTGCTCAATATTGCCTTTGATACTAATATCAAAATCTGATACGATTTGTAACACTTTCATCAGAAGAAAAGGAAATAAAATGGCAATATTTCATACTATTTTCAATTTATCTCATTTTAAAATTTAGGAAATGAAAATAATATGAAATACAGAGTTAAATTAAAATTGTGGCTCTCTCCATGGTCCGCCGTTCGAGGATTAATAAAGTATTATCTAACTTCCCAATTATGAAAGGATATTGAAATGACTGATTTCAAAATAGATTTGAAATTACTTAAAGGAAATTAGAATCAATATTGCATAAGTGTATTTATCCAAGGAACTAATTACCAGTTAGGTAATAGCTGCTTCCTACAAATATCTCTCATTTCATTAAGGAAGTTCCGTCGAATGAATTCCCCTTGAGAATTTTTAATAACGAAACGAGGGGAAATAAAAGTTAGTATTCCCTCATACGTCCACTTTCATTAAAGTCATCATGCAAACAATTGAAAGAATAAATATATGCAGATTAATAAGCGAAAAAATGATTACCCATCTAGAGAAGAATAAAGCTTCTCAAATTTAAATATACGACGCTATGGAATACTAGAATTATTTTCCCAATATATTAAAGTTTTTTAAAGAGCCACCAATTGCAGTCGATGCACCATTGTCTGGGTGCACAATTGAACCTACATAGATTTCGTACCAATAGATTCAAGTTAATGATGATTGCAGATCGAACGAGCGAAGAGTATCAGGATACGAAGAACGGAATGTGGGACCGGAAGTGTGACATGTGACAGAGGCACTGACGAAGTGGAACCACCGAGCAGTAGTAGCAAAAAGTCTGGAATCGTTCGAAGTCATCAGCAGAGCTGCATTAACAGAGTGGCAAGGGAGACAAAAACAGCTGGCACTTTAGCAGTGGTCGTAGGTGGATTTGTGGCCTGTTGGCTACCCTTTTTCATTCTATACCTGGCTACCCCTTTCGTGCCCATGGCACCACCGGATATCCTGATGCCAGCACTTACTTGGCTAGGTACATATCTGTGATAACATTACTCTGATTGAAAATGGTTTCAACCGAATGGGAATGGTGTTTCATTTAAAAAAAATTTATTTATTTCAATCATTTTTTGATCCTCTTATGTTGATATAAATTTAACATACATTTTACCTTGTAATTCTACCAGGGAACGAGATGCAAATTTTATTTGTGCCTTCCTTGTATATAGAAAACGAAATTATATTTTTAAAGTTCTGCACGGCAGTTTAATGAAAATTTAAATGGGACAAACGGGTCGCTAGAACCGTAAAAACATTAAATTATAAACAAACAAGCGTGTAATGTGCGGGATTAAAACCACAACGTACTCCGCTAACACGTACGCATCTTCACATCTATTTTATCTAATTGTCTTTCGCTTTCAAACTCATAAGATTACGTTAACTTTCATTTTCTATTAAAATTACAAGGTAAAATTAAATTCTTTTCTCATATGCCCTTTTTAAACCTCAAAAACGAATAAAGGGAGTTCGAAACTTTAATTACTGGAGTTTAATCCTTGAATGGCGGAACCGAGTCAATCGTGACCCCGACTTTGATTCAAATTAAATATTGAATACCTGTAAATATATTGAATAATTTAAAAATTTTTTTGTATTTTAATAAAGTTTGATTTAATTATGGATTTTAGGATGGATTAATTCAGCCATAAATCCATTCATCTACGCTTTCTACTCGGCTGACTTCCGGCTCGCATTCTGGCGGCTGACGTGCCGGAAGTGCTTCAAAAATCGAAGCAATTTGGAGCGAAGTAATCGTAAACTACCGACTGCAGGGACTTGGAAGAAAGAGACGTCGAGAACGTGAAGATCGAAGACTAAAATCACTGTGATTTATCTAAAAATCCAAATCACGTTCATTTAATTTATTTCAAATGCATACTGTCATTTAATTCCTCGGTTCTTTTTTCTACCTGAAGATTAAAACGAATAATTTTATTATTCGGACAGATAATCTTAAAATTTCGCACTTTTTTCAAATTAGACTAAAATATAAAAATACGTTATTATCCGAGTATTACTCACGGTACTCTTGAGTAAAAGAAGAAACAACCAAGACACTTATTTATCTAAATTCTAAATAATTGCGGTCCTAATTGTAAGAAAACTATAAAACTGTGTTCTGTAAGAAGGAACATTACATTCGCCTCCACTCGATAAAAAATCACCGATACAAAATAATAATTAATCAATCGTAGGAAAATAGTCTTCGTTTGTCATTACGATAACTTGTCTATATCTATCAGCGCATAATTGATCTGTAAATGTAGAAAGTACGCAAGTATACGGATTTTATAATGTCCCGTTGGTCTGTTTTACTTAAATCCCTGTCAACAATTTTTTCCAGATTGTAAATTTGAAACAAGAGCTAATTACGTACATAACGAACTCGTATGGTAGCGTCGTTGTAAATTAGCACAGCAAAGAATTAATTAACTGCTTGACCACAATGGGCTGCTTGTTAAGAACTTTCGCAGCTTTGCTTTGTTACTATCTTCGTGAAACGATACAAACGTGTTGTTGTTGAAATTTAAATACGCAATGGCAATAAGTAAGAATCTTCAGATGTATCAAATTATCGAATTTTTGTAATTAAACCTTCTCTTTAATTATGCGACCTTCGCCACTAAACATCGGAATAGGAGCAGTGACTACAGATGCAAAAAAAGACACCCCCAAATGAAATTAAGGGTACACAACGACTACAGAGCCAACAAGACTGGACATGCCTTTATTACCGAAGGGTGGTAATTTCAAGGGTACGCAGTACCCCAATATGAAGTTAGGTTTTCACAGTTGGTATAACAGTTGGATCTGTAGTCACTGGTTATATCTAGTGTTGAGAAAAGGGCTGAATCAACCTCCCCTTGCTGCTTCTCTTGTTGCTGTAATATGGCAAGGCTGAGCTCAAGACACTGACTGACAATAAGTAATGCAGTATAGTCTTTGATATCGAAGTAATTTGCTATTACCATCAAAATGGATTAGACTGTTGCAGTGCGAAGTATTTCACATTTTTATACTAGGATAGAACAGATGGCGTTCGTTCTCAAGCATCGAGACCAACCTTCGGATTCCGCGTCGATAAAACAGCCCACGGTTTCTGTGAAATCTGTGAAAAAACATAACAGAGATTAAATAGAAAAAAAACGCATAAATTTTGCAGCCAATTCGCTCGTATTATTTGCTGCATAATTAATAAATGTACCATAGAAATAATGATACAGTTATTAATTAGTCATCAAATAATAAAGATTGCCCAAGTCTCACGGTCTCGCCACGAAGAGATGGCTGCGGTTTGGAGACCCGCCCTACCTCATCCCAACCATCCGCCATTTATGCAAATTTTTATTTTTATTCAATAACATCATTCTCTTGATGCACATTTGCAAAACGTTTCGACTGTTGTGCAAACGAACAACAAAAGGAGCATTATCTTTATTCACTACCTGCCTACTTATATTTTTCTTTCCTAATCCTACCCTACAAAGTTATTTAATTTTGATTACAGATCTGTAATTAGTAATATGCAATTACATATTTGTCTTACATCTAAATACTAAGAATATTAAATCTAAAATTTCCTAATTAAACACTGCAGTGTTTAAACTTAATTATGTACTTATTCAATTACTTAAAAATCTAAAGGGATATAAACAAATAACTGTAATAAATTTGTTGGTTTGATGATTCTTATCAGAATATTTTCTGAAACAAATTAAAAAGGATTAGGTACAATTTCAAATCACTTTTACATCACTTTTACATCACTTTAGTTAATTGAATACCTTAACTTCATACTTCCTGTAAAGATATTTCTCTGTAACAGAAAGTGATTAATTGAATCTAGATAAAGACAAAAAAAATTAATAGCTGGAAAGAAGATACATCAGTAACAATAAAATTTTACAAAACTCAAAATGGTTGTTAATAACTCAAAATCAATTTGATACAAAACATGAATTTAAAGCAAACTTCAGTACCAAAATAAACGTACAAAATAGTACGTACAACCACGACTCTACTCGACTTTATTGCATTACATTATTCAATATACCTTTCAATGCAAATTTATTGTAAAAAATAATCACGAGCGGACTTTGCTTTTCAGGAAAAGAATTTGAAAATTTATAAAAGTAATTTAATTAGCTTCTCCGTAAGCTTGAAACAAAACATCGCGATCAAAAATTAAAACTAAACAACTCGAACAACAATTATCCACTAGTTTTGTTTAAATAAAGTAGAATTAAAATTTAATAAGTTATCTCGAATGAACAAATATTCCTTGCAATAATTTATCACCAATCATCACAAAATAAAATGAACTTTCATTTTAAATGAAACTTTGAATAAAGTTCTATTTAAAACTTTATCGTATTTAATAATATTCTGAAAACATTAAATTCATATATTATTTAACAGTATTTCCAACAACCGAATGCTCAAAATTTTCAAAATTAAAAATAGGGAAGAAAAAAGAATGGGGGCGGGGCAGTGGGAGGGAGGGTACAGGGGAACCTGAAAAGAAAAGTTTGACTGCCCATAAGAGCAATCCCTAAGCAAACCCTATAAAACAAACCGAAATCACACGCAACACTAATTTTAAAATTGCAAACATTCTGAACTATGACAAGACATCGGCTGGCAACGAAGGGTCTCACGCCCCCTAGACTTACGCCAGACGCTACATACCACCCACCCCGCCTGGACGTCGTAACGCCAGGACAGAGTGCACCCCTTCGCTAAGAGCGCTACCCACCCGTCCAACACGTTGCATCCAACGGTGTCAGATTTGCGGACGCCCATAGTATAGACAAAAGGACTACAGTTTAGAATATGGTAACATATTTTCATATGTTCCGTATTCTAAAGCTGCGCCTGCAAAGGCCTAGTAATGCATGGGTATATCTCCCAGAGATGGTGTTCACGGTCTCATGCCGCGGAATCCTTGACTAGCAATGGATTCCCACCGAATGTAAGTCATAGTTACTTCCACTAATTTAATAAATGCAAAAAAGTAAAAAATGTAATAACAATCGCGAATTCATTCGCAACACTAATTTCATTAATTATATAATATGTACAAAAGCGTACGCGTGAAGGCTGCTTCATTATGCGCAACGCTAAGCTGAAAAAAAGAAAAAAAGAGAAAACGCGAACTGTAACGCAACACTACTCAAATCTACCGAACTTTGTAAGACGCAACACTAATCTAAAAAAGGGGTACAGCCAATCCAAGGCTGTACCACGGCAACTGGTCCATAGCTGCCTTATGGACCATGGCAACTCCACTGGATCGTTTTGGGGCATTTCATCATATATCACAACACTAATGCATAACGCGAATACTCATTACCGCAACACTAATTAGCAGGGAACTCTATAAACTAATGCAAAGCAATCGCGTATTTAAAAGTCGCAACACTGGGAAACAATCGCGCTAATGTCATTCGCAACGCTATCTTTAACAGACATGTAATTAAAATGCAAAAAAGGGGGATTCTCAAACCGTGAATCTTTTACTCGCAACACTAAAGCAATGAACATTAAAAAGCAAAACTCTCAAAAATCTTAAAGCAATCAACATTGAAAAGTTAAATTCTTTTTTAAAGCACTGCAAGAAAGAAACGCGATATTTAAAGTTCGTAACACTAAATGAAAATCGCGATAATCATGCATACGCAACATTAAATTTAACCGTGATCGATATTTATTCGCAACACTAAATTGAACCGTGGTTAATATTCGCAACACTAAATTGAAAACGCGATTTGCCCAAAATCATGGGGGTCACGGGCCCCCTCTTCTCCTGCAATTACAAAACTACAACTACAGGCAAGCACAGTGACAAAGTAGTAACGATAATGATTTCCCATCCTTTTTTGCAAAAGGATGCAAAATCATTAGTAGTTCCCCTCTTGAAAGACAGTTTGTCGGGGCGCTTCGGCATATAGCCTCTTCTTTCTTCGGGCGGTCCACCCACCTGAAACTTATATCTAAAGCTCGAGACTTGCAAATTCGCAAAAAAAAAAACAATCAACAAAAAAGAAAAATCGCGAAACTCTAATTGACACGTGGACAAAAAAGGACTTTATACATATAAGTCGTTGTTCGTGCACACGTGCCGTGCTCGAGCAGAACTTGTGCGTTTCGTGCCATCGCGATCGCGTATGACGACTTATGAAGTCGCCAAAAATTTGAAAAATTGTACAGATAGAATCGAAGGCGAACGGCGTACTCCGTTCGTATCGATGGTATCGTCAATTCTTCAAATATATTCCAGGTACAGGTTGATCACGCGAAATCGCGCCTACCCGACCAAGAGACTGTGTGACAACCTGTCCCGGCCCTACCTACTTACAATCTATCACACACACCAGAAGGTATACTACCTACCTACCTAACGCTATATTTAAAAAAGGCAAAATCACATTCTCACAAAAATTCATTCCACGACCCCCATACACTCCACCCGGGCGCAAAAGCCTAAACTAGGGAGAACGTCCCGGGACGCCTCCGTCACCCGAGTTTCATCTCACATCATACTCTACGGTACGTACCATTTTTCACTGAAATCGTCTGGCAAGGCTAGCAATCATTGCATATAATGATAATTACAAAATTTAATTAACTACTTTGATATAGAATATTTCATAATAATGGTAATAATCATGGTAATAATAATGGCAATATAGTAATAGTAATGGTAATAATACTATTTGGTTTGTACGTTCATTGTACATCTTGTTGAATGAAATATTATTTCAAATTAAAAGTTAAATGAAAGAGTTATTAAACCGACGCAATCCCACAGCCTAAAAACACACACACCATATGTGGAAATTACGTCGTGCACGATATACTAACACAATGCCAGCCGCTTATTAATTATTATTCTTATGAACTAGGTCGTCGTGCCCATTGCCTCTACCCATCCAAGTAGCACCTGGGCACGTGAATGGGCTTTGGCAATAAACACGGAAGGGATTAAACCTGAAAATCCTGATCTACAAACATGATTAGTACATAAACATCTAACGGGCTAATATTTCACTATTTTAATAAAAGTGACTCGACTTTGTAAATATAAAGCTTTAAGAACAAATACTGAAAAGTAAAATAGAGCAACTATGACGCAAACATGGTGCACTGCTAATACCAGCTGGCAACGAAGGGTCTCACGCCCCCTAGACTTACGCCAGACGCTACATACCACCCACCCCGCCTGGACGTCGTAACGCCAGGACAGAGTGCACCCCTTCGCTAAGAGCGCTACCCGCCCGTCCAACACGTTGCATCCAACGGTGTCAGATTGACGGACGCCCATAGTATAGACAAAAGGACTACAGTTTAGAATATGGTAACATATTTTCATATGTTCCGTATTCTAAAGCTGCGCCTGCAAAGGCCTAGTAATGCATGGGTATATCTCCCAGAGATGGTGTTCACGGTCTTATGCCGCGGAATCCTTGTAACTGATTTGATTAATTAAATAATACGTAGGATTGAAATTAAAAACCAAAAGGATTCCCACCGAATACTAGTCAGTGCAACGTCATATTTACTCTCGAGTCGGAAATTTCTCGCAACACTAATTTAATAAAGGCAAAACTCTAATAAAAAGGAATTTAATGTCAAAATTGAATTTGATATTTTATTAAAAGCAAAATGACTAATTAAAAATTCTTTATAATGAAAAAAGAATATATTGTGAAAATTAATAAAAAATTAAAACATCCTCGGGCGACTCCCTCCTCAGAGTAAATTTTCAAGAATACGCAAAATGTGTTGAAATAGATCACTCTGACTTGGAAATCTACCCGTCACGAATTGTCTTCTTGCACATAAATTGTTCATTTTTTCATGAACGTTTAAATAAGTTAAACTTCTCTATTGAATGAATGAAATTTTAAAAAATTCTCAAATTATATTTGAATTCATAATGTACAAAATGTAATTAAATCAATGTAATAGCATCATTAATACGTATATCCAGTATACATATTACATAATACTATCAATATTATATTGCTTTGAACCATCGCAATAACTAAGTCAGACAAGCTAAATAAAATTGTTTCGGTATTAAAATATTCTAATTCCACGTTTAAGAACATTTAAGAACATTTAAGAGCATTCATATATTTCATAAATATCTATTGGAATATATGGAATTGAAATGATATTAAAACGCGGAGTACAAGAAGACCTAGCCTGAACTAAATGAAATGAAACAATAAAAATGTTACTACTCATGGGTATAATCATACCCATGGTCACTATGCTTGCTAACCACGTATACAACTAGTAACCCGTGTCGATTCGGACCATTCGTCCTACGACATGATTGGGCACCAGAGGAACCATAAAACATGCGACTCACCGTTCGCAGATATACTCTTCTTCCGGCAGTCAAGTAGGAGGATGGACAACACCAGGTGGGATGCTGCCTTGTAGGAGAAGATTCATCTGTAACAAAAAAAGAAGAATTACGGTTAATTTTGAAAATTATCAATTTTTATTCTAATAAAATTATATATGAAATTGAATTTTATAAAATATTAGCAATTAAAAAGAAATCTCAATTATCAAGTGTTGAAATTGAAAATTATTCTATTTTAATAAAAAGCAATTAAGTGACGTACCAAGACGGAAGTCGTGAAGAAAGCCATCATCAGGATATCCAGGAACTCGGCAAAATCAAAAAATTCATCTGTAACAAAACAAAAAAGAATTACGGTTAATTTTGCAAATTATCAATTTTTATTTTAATAAAATTATATATGAAATTGAATTTTATAAAATATTAGCAATAGCAATTGAGAAGAACTCTCAATTATCAAGTGTTGAAATTGTAAATTATTCTATTTGAATTAAAATTAATTAAATAAAGTAATAAGATACTTACACTCTTTCCTCATGGAGCAACGCTCAAAACTCCTCTTCAGTGGTGCACTGACTCTAATACCGGATATATCGAGCAATTTAAAAAAAAAAAAAAAAAATAAAAATAAAGATATGGAATACTAATAACGCGACCGTGAATAATTTCCAGCGAACAATTGTAGTGACTCTACTTTCACGATGAAAAAGGAAAAAGCAGAGCCGCGATACTCTAGAAAATATTTTATAATACGCTGCAAACACTGACTCTACTTTCGCGTGATTCCTGATTGTACAAACGCAACTCTATTCAGGGCCAGTTCACCCTTGAAAAAATCAAAACATTGAAACTATGTTCGTACAAACACTGACTCTACCGACCGCCTTGCGCGCGGCCACAACAATTCCTGGAAGAAAAGATTAGTGAGGAGGTTGGGATGGGTGGAAATGTACAAAACAAACATTCTTCTTATTAAGCGTTTGTTAAGGAAATACTGTTATTATGTATAAATATCCCTGTTCGTGAAATATTCTCAACGAACACGAATATTATTCAAGTTGAACATTGATCCTAGATTATATCGTAATAATGAAATGTTTTAAATAATTGTTGATAATTATTTCAACGAATATTACAAGAATAGAAAATCGTTGTTAAATAAATATAATAAACTATTTTATTAAAATAGAGGATTTCTGTTGTTAAAATTGTAAGCATACTAAAAATTGTTGCAAATTCTATTACGCCGTGATTTATAAATTGTTTAAATTCTTTTCAATAAACAAAGTCCAATAATTAATCACACTTAAACATCATGTAATTTAATAACGACCGAAAGCTGTATATTATAATACAATTACTACGATTTAAGGAAAACAGATTGTTTTCAATAATCCAAATATAATTAAATAATTGCAGAAGAGAAGCAGTTATCTGCAGTAAAATACAAACTGTTTCAATTTTGTTCTAATTTATAATAGATGCATGAAACTACTAATTAAAATTATTCAATAAAACGAAAAACTAATCATCCTTTTTCTATTAATTGATGAAAAAAAAAGAAATGTCTCTAATCTTTTCTTCCTTGACTTGGTACCAATTAATTATCAAAAATGCTTACAATTAACAACGTATCAATTAAAAAAAAGTAATAATAAATGTTTATAAGTGATTACAATAAATTAAAACAGTAAATTCTTACGAACTTCTATTTGAAACCCATATCAGGTGTCATGACGTCCTTTCAATATCCATAAAATATCTGTAACAAATAAGAAATACGAATTTATGTAAATAAAATTTAATCAACAATAATAAAATTATTATTAATAAACGATCGAACTATAATTTATGTAAAATATTTTAATAGGTGCAATGGATACCTACTATTTATGCGGAAGGATGCTCTCAACACGTCTTATCACTTCGACGTTCGCGAGAGAAATGGCGCAATCTTCCTTCGCGCCGAAGACCGGTAGGCACCGCTCGGTGCTGTTCCGTTATTGGCCGATACCTAAACAAGTACACAGATAGGTCTAAACAGGAATAATATTATGATGCTCAAGAAAGGAAGTTATTAAAAACAGCAAATTGTGTGAAGCAGTACTAAAAACATTCGATAATGTTTAAGAACTTAACGACAAAAAAGAGAAAATAATTCAGATTCTGTTGTTTCACTCTCATTGTGCATTAGGAGCAAGAGCAAGAGCACAAATTTTCAACTCACGTATTTTTGAAGAGAACGCCGAATTAATGTCAAAGATCAAGAATTCAGACTTTTCTTCGATGTTTCTTTCTATTTTTTGTACTTTTAACACCCGATCGGCAATTTAATATTTGTCATACTTAATTTAATATTTGAAGATAATTTAATCTTACCTATTGCAGACACGTGAAACACAGCAAAGCTTTGGAGAGGACTGACGCACTTCACCACACTCCGCGCACCATAACCTTCAACGATGAATCTGATAGGTCGAAATGGAAGGATGCCATAATGGAATGACCAATCACAGGCATTGGTAGAAACTTCGAATTGCTTTAAAACTTTAACAGAAAGATTCGTTGAAAATTATTAACGCCATATTGAAATAAGGTTAAGATTATTTTTTTCAATTTAAAGCACCGAAATATAAGAAAAAAGATTGAAAAATACATAAGATATTAATAGTATTTAATAAATTATCATCATAAAAGCAGAATAAATGAGAAATACAGTATTTTAATTCGTATCTATGTATATCGGCAAAATAAGGTATAAATTTTCAGCTTACGCACTTCTGAAGACAATGTAGAAATGATGTCAGAATTCCGATCTTCTTCTCAACTTTGTCTTCTGTTTTTTGTATTTTTGATACTTAATACACAATTTAATATAATATTTTAATAATATTTAAGGCGATGCAACAGTCGAGCCCGCTTCACATACACCAGCTGCGAATGAACTGCCCCCTACAGGAAAAATGAGGAACTAAATTTATGATCTGTTTTACCTTTTTGACGTCTTTCGCGAGTGAATCATGAACGAAATCGTAGTTCTCATTTTGTTCTATCTGACCCAAAAAATGTTAGTCTGGTACCCATTTGGACATAAAGTTCGTACAAATGTTTATATTACGTCGACAGACATCAATTTCAATATTTTATAACTTTTTGACGATTTGGTAATATAAACACCAGGGCCTCTTGAACACGTCCCCTAAATTTCTTTGCAATCTATTCAATAAGGACGACATAATTTGAGAACTCGTTTCTGGGGATTTTTCTAGGGACTGTCAGTAAAGTTTTCAACGCTTGCATCTTACTTCGGGACAAAAATATGCAAACAATAAAATACAAAAAAAAGAAATACTGTACTAATTTTTCTTTAATATATCCACAAAATCTAATAGTACATACATAAAGCTGTTCCTCAAATTTCAAGCAGCATATAAATAAAAATTTTTCATTTCTATTTTACAATTATATAAATGTTATAATTACTTGTGTAGAGTACATTCTTCTGAACAAACATGATCTAAATAATATAGTAGATCCATGTCAATAGTCTACTGTAATGCTCCATTAATCTTTGCTGGGTAAAGTCATTCGCATCATCGTTATTCTCAATATTTGGATCCGTATTAATTGTATCAATTTCACTTGGTCTTACGATACTACTTTCACTAACGAAAGCATCATTAATATTACTCTCTGAACCATCTACCTAAAAACCATATTAATTTAAATGCAATTAATATTTAAAGAATGTTTTAGTTATCATTACCGTGGTATCGTCGTAGTCTAAAAACTCAGTGTTTTCATTTTTATCATTAACTTCTTCGTTGTTCTGAGTTCGCCAATAATCTGAAATTTCTCCATACAATCCTGGACTTTCGTTTATACTGTCCACGTATTCGGTTAATTTCTTATCCTCTAATGTTGTATTTAATTGAGATACTAGCATCTTATTCTTTTCAATGGCCAAAAGGAAAAGAGTTAGTAACATTAAAAATTTGTTTTAGTAAACAAAGTAGAAATATTTATCATGTTTAATGTTACCTCTTCATCGGACACTGTATTCTTGACATTGAAATGATCATGATAATCTGGACTTCCTGTCTTCAGAACCAGATGCGTGTATTTTTTTAACATTTTACCTTCTTGATGCAAATGAGGAGCGTATAGTATAATACGTAAAGGCAAAGCTTTAGGTTCTTCATTCTGAGCATCCTCATTTGTAGAAGAATTATTATCTATATTCGTCTGATTATTTAATAAAATGTGATCTCCCGTTCCTGTGTAACTTTCAGTCATCCCTGAGTTTGATATTGTACTCGATATCTGTATTTGTTCTTGTTCTTCTTTAACTTCAGATGTTGTTCCAATTTCTATGTCTGTAGTTGAAATAGTACTTGGATTCGTACTAAAAGGAGTAATAGTACTCGTACTTTGTTTATTATCAATTTTCTTTTTATCCGGATCTAAATTCCCGTTTAAATTCATATTTTTTAAAAGATACTCTTCATAATCCATTGAATCGCGGTCTACAGACGATTGCACCTATTCGTTAAAAAAACAAGTCAATGTTTTATATTCTTCATTAAAGAATCTTTCAACTCATTAATTCCCATCACGCGATATTGCGGTGGTGGTACACAGCGACCGATTAGCTTCTTTACTTATAATACTTTATAATATAACATTGCAAGTATTTATTATTTATGCGTACACGCGACTTTGGGTATTAATGAGTTAAAAATCAGTACAGATTGTGTATAGATGCTTACATTGCAAGGACCACAGGGATCATCTTTGTACGTTGAAAGAATAGCCGCTTTAACATAAGGGAAGTATAATATGCTCCAGGGGACTATAACTTGATAAGTCAATCTTCCACAACTGTAATAATAATTATCTATAATCATTTAACTTTATGAATACTAAATACAAGTATTATAATGCTTTTATCGCTTTTCAAATTTAAAAAATGCTTACCGATCGATGATTACCACTTCATCCTTCAAGGCGCGAAAATTTTCCCAAATCCTCAACTTAAGATTATCTTGAATGAAGATAATATCATATTTACTCTTTGTAGAATCATCGAGTACTCTCTGGTCAATATCAAACAAATATTCGGATTTCCATACATTCTTCGATATTTCCCTCCATGTTTTTATCTCGACACTGTTCTCCGTGTTCCCTTCCGGCAAACCCGATGGCGGTGCCACGCAGAAGAATAAGATATTCGTGAACCCAGATTTGTCTAGTCTTCTCTTCAGTAATTTCAACCTTGAAGGGAATGACTTTAAAGTATTTCACCTTGTGAAATTTTCAAACATATAAATCAAAGATATGTAAAATGTAACGCCGGTAACACGCGTGTGAATTTAACCCTTTCGCTTCAAACTCAAGTACAGCCGTGTGCTATTTAAGGTCCCTTTAGTTAAGAAAAAATGTAAGAGAAGGATTGTCTATGGGGAAGACATTTCAAAAAGTCAAATTTTCATTCAAATACATCAAAATATGAAAAACGATCTTAATTATTTTCCGGCGATTCCGACCAATTGCAATTTTTCCAATTTCTTTTTACACTAATTTCTCTCTAACTTCTCCAAAAATAGAAGTTGTTCGGACCAATGTTTAAAGAATTGTTCCGTTCTGAATAGCGTCGGAATATTAAGTAGAGTAACTGTGTGAGACGATCGTTGGTTCAGAGACTTACATGATTGTCTGTCTATAACTGTAGTACCAAGAGGGATCAAAAAATGCGATCACGTTCACGTGTGCCAGCTGACCTTTCCACAGATTCGTGGCACGGCATTGCTCGACGTATCCACGATTCTCTCGGCTCTCCTCAAACTGACGGAAGTGACGAGAAGGAGTTTCCGGCGTACGCGGAGATCTCTGACCGATGCAACCGGCGACCGACAAGATAATCAGTATCCCATTGAAAATCGACATGATTCGTTTAGTTTTAACCGTGACCGAAACCGCGTCCCGTTTCTAACTAACAGATCGTTTTTAGAGAGGAGTTCCTCCCTCTAAAAATAGAGTCGATGCGTGCGATGGGCGAAATAAAATACTGATTCCTAATGGGAACTGGTAAATTTCACGGATATCGATCGACGAATGAAAAAAAAACTGTTTCTTTTTTTTTTTTTACTTGAAGAGAGATAATACTGATGAAAATTCAGGAAACAAAGATACCGAGACACCGCGGACTAGTTTAAATCATCATCGTTTGAATCGATGTACGCGTGTCGCCTCTTTAGCGAGATTTTTCAGTGAGAAAAATCAATTTATATACGTCGTATTGATGCGATATGCATGCGGGTCACACGGAAACTGTAGCGTTTTTCTGACCTCGCATGCCGCTACCGCGAACCACCGTTCCTCTTACACGTGACATAAATATGACACCCTTCCAACGTCAGGAAGTCTACTCTATCACATCGTAGACTTAGATTTTTATATTGGACTCATCGATTCTTAAGTAATTTTAAAAATTTTTATCGACTTTATTAACCCTCCTGCACTGTTTAGGTACTGTTGATCCTAAATGGATATTCAATGTCCATTTTTTGGAATACTATAAAATTGAAATGTTAATAAATAAAGAACAAACAAATTTTATCTATTTTTCTTCCATCAAGATTTTTGGAGCTACCTCTACCTGCAGATAATAATTCTACTCTTTTATTAATTACAAAAAGAAATTTGTTTAAATATTGAGAATCTGTAATTTAATTTTAAATGAAGTATTGTCTGATGTGTGTCAGCATCATCTGTAAACGGGTTATAGTTTATCGCTCTTACGTAGTACATAGTAACTTTACGTTTTCTTAACGTCAATCTATTAGAGAATTATCGAGCTTCTTAATGATTAATTTTAAAGACAGATCGAAAATGAAAATGATATAAAATATGTTAAATAGATCAGTTATACCAATTATAAATATTCCATATTTTACTATTTTTGGAAAATGAAGAAAATTAGAGTTAATATTATCAAAGTCCTAATTTTTTTTATCCCCTTATTGGATAATTGTAGATGCTCCACTGATTCCACCCTCACATAGGTACACAATCATGACCTTTTTAATAATCATGAATTATTCTTTGATTCCTAGATTATAGACACGCATACGAGGAAGTGAAAGATGAAATTTCTAAATAAATCGAACATCCGTCGAGATGAGTCAATGAGAACGAACACGTGTTCACGGTATACGAGAACGAAACAGAGAGTCCCTTGTTCTCAACTTTTCAAAGCTCGAATACAACTTGAACACTCGTTTACACGATTCCTCGGTCGAACAAGTAACATCAGTTTGCTCCAAAGTATCGACAGTTGATCGTTCGATGCTCCACCGGAAATAAGTGGCTCGACGAGAGTTCTCCATTTATACACTGGTGTTGGTAGATCATTGATAGATTTGAAAAAGTTCATCGAGAGACACTCGAATGATATGTGCAAACGTAGACGAAAAGCGATCAGCAAAAAGATCATGACCAAATTCAAAGTATCATTCGCGTAGAAAGAGTGTAATTTATCAAATTTTTAAAGCATGTAAATTGCAAACATGATCGGTTCGATCACGAGAAAATGCATATTGATCGGCCTGTTATCTCGTTTGTTGATTGCAATTGCATTCTTCAATGACTTTCCTCGATTTAATGAAGATTTCCATTTCGAAGTGGGTGCAGTTAATAACACAGCATCGTTGATTATTAATTTTAAAGAAAAGAGACACGTGAATCAACATGAGTTTAATGAGAGCCTGGAGAACGTTCAAAGAACGTTTCAAAATAAAGCTAACGCCTTGTCGCATCTTTTGAAAATTCATATTGATCATTTGAGGAATGAAACTGATCAGGTAATTAAGAATTTTTATGCTGCTTCATTTCTAATTTCTAATTCGTAAATATTGCCTATCAAATTATAAATGAAATGTAATATTTTATAACAGAAGAAGATAAAATATTTATTTCCTTCTTTTTCAAACTTTTCAAAGTAAAATATTTAATTTATTAAATAATTCTTGTCAGATTGAATTGGTATTCCTCGTCGATGCATCAGGATCGGTAGGCCTGAAAAATTTCCAAAGTGAACTGAATTTCGTGAAAAACCTTTTATCCGATTTCTCGGTGGAACCATCGGTAACCAGAGTCGCGATCGTGACGTTTGGTGGCAGAAGAAACATCAGACGGAACGTCGATCAAATATCTCGTAGTAGTGGGATCGATAATAAGTGTTATTTATTGAACAAACAATTAAACAATATCACTTATACCGGTGGTGGAACGTACACGAAGGGTGCTCTTTTAGAAGCCTTTGTAAGCGTTTTTTCTTTCTACAGATTAATATTAATTTTGAATATTTAAAAGAATGATCGAATAATTTATCAGAGGATTCTCGAGAAGGGTCGACCAAACGCTAGGAAGGCAGTGTTTCTAATAACAGATGGATTCAGCAATGGAGGTGATCCTCGTCCTGCATCGAACCTTCTGAAAAATGCAGGTGCAACGATCTTTACTTTTGGAATACGTACAGGAAATGTAGATGAGCTTCACGATATAGCTAGTTATCCCGGATATACGTACAGCTATTTTTTAGACAGTTTCACCGAATTCGAGGCTCTTGCTCGAAGAGCTTTACACCGTGGTGGGTATACGAATTTAGACATCTATTTTATATAGAAATTAGAACAAATCATAATTGATTATGAATAAACTAGGAAATGAATTGTGGCGCAATCGTTAACCAGTGATAGATTAACTGAAACGCGTTATCTATCATGAATTCCTCTCGTTTCCGCTGTTACAGATTTGAAAACGGGCAAATACGTGCCGGTGACGTATCCAGATAATTGCAATCTCTTGTGCAGAAATATCAGCGAAGTAGGAAACGAGCGGAATTGCTGCGATAATTCTGCGACCTGCGCCTGCGGGACCGCAACCGGTCATTACTCTTGCATCTGTCCCACTGGATATTTTGGTTCCGGTTTCAAGGGTTCTTGTCAGCGTAAGTTTAACAAAAGAATTGTTCTTTTTATACATTTTCAAAATTCGATAAATGTTTCTGTCAATTTTTCCTTTATAATTATTAAAATCTATCTTCGTCATTTTATTAAACTGTTGGATGACAAATAAAACATGAAAATTCTGATATGATTTAATTACATAAAAATATCACAAAATAGCGTTTATTAATTTTAAATGAATTAGGTGAACTAGATTAAAATTTGATGAAAGAAAACGACATAAATATTTATTATATTTAACGCTAGAAATTTTACTAAAGCAAAAAGATGTGTATTTTTTTTTAGCTTGTCCAAATGGTACATATGCTTCCGGTGAAATCTCTGGAGACTCAACTTCCATGTGTATACCATGCCCTGATGCGAATCATGTGACTATTAAGATACCTGCAACATCAGTGGAACATTGCGTTTGCGACTCTGGATTCACTACAGATGGACATAAATGCGAAGGTAATTTGTAAATTGTTCACACCTGCGTTTTATTACAAAATAAACCCTTTGCCAGCTGCGAGTAGAGGAATATTTCCAGTTAAGAGTACTACGTCTTTCAGAGGATCTGGATACTGCGGTATATAAGAACCGTATTTTTCTAGTTGAAACTTCGGTTTCGAAGCAAGCCAGCCATACTACAATAATTCGTACAAAAGAATTTTTAATATATTACTAATTTTAATTGTACTTTGCTATCCTAAGAATAGAAGGTTCTTATTTCTCTATACATGGGGTGTTAAACACCTCACAGTAGGGAAATGGGGTTGATTTTACTATAAAGTTAAAATTTTCATTTCAATAGTAAAGTTTCTTATTATTATAATATAGCAATGATAATTTAGAAAGTTTATAATATTTTAAATAATCAAATTTCTTTTGATTACTTCGCCACTTGTAGTAACAGGAGCTGGCAAACAGGTCTTTCCCTCCTCTCGTACGAATCCCTCTGTAGGAAGCACTGTTTGCTTTTCTTTCCACAGTTCTTCCAATTCTTTATTCAATTTTCTTTAAAATCAATCATCAATCAGTATTAAATATTTCTTCAAGAAATTATACAATTCAATTAATTTAATTGAAATACATACGCCTGTTCTTCCAATAACCATTCGTATCTCTGTAACCATTTTATTTGTGACCATCTTTCATTTTTCATCCTTTCAGTGAAATTTTTGGAAACCGATACGAAATCGCGAGCTTTGAAATCGCGTGCGTCCATTATTCCTTTAAAGAAATATTCTGTAATAAGTTTAACAAAGAGTTCTTGTAAAAATTTCTTCAACGTCCTGAAAATGGCTTTTATCGTTCATTTATCGTGAAGTTTAGAATTATTCAAGTAATTTTTCTTATTCTTTTCTTTTGATCGCTTACAGTCATAACATGTCCAAAATTGAAGATACCTGAAAATGGATATTTAGTGAAAGCTAGTGCATGTAACAACGTTGTGCACGCAGCATGTGGCATAAGATGCAGAATCGGTTTCTACCTAATAGGTGATAGTATTCAACTCTGTGGAAAAGACGGTAGTTGGTCTGGCAATCAACCAAAATGTCTATGTAAGTCTATTCCAGTAATCAAAATTATTATAATAGAAAATTTGAGACTTGTTAATTTCATGCTTTGGTACAATAGTTGTAACGTTAATTTTATTCATAGTAAAAACTTGTCCGGTGCTTCGTGTTCCTGCCCACGGTCGAATGCGTTGTCAAACCGAAGAAGATCAGCATCGAATCACAGATAATTCTACCGCGTATCCCATCGACACTCGTTGTCAATTCAAATGTGAGATTGGTTATCAACTTCGAGGTAGTAAAATTCGTAATTGTCTACCATTAGCGCAATGGGACGGATTAAAAGCTACTTGTAAAGGTATATCCATCATTTACCCCTCATACAATACAATATTACAAAAATTAACGATTCTTGACGAATTATAGATTTTATAAAACAGTACAAAATGTATCTATCCGATTTTTTCTTATTTCCTTTGGAACAGAGTTACAATCTAAAATCGTCTAAATGACATACCCTAATCACCCTTTCAATAAAGATTCTTCGGTTAATATTCGCAGCAATCAAATGTGAACCATTGAAGCAAATAGCAAATGGTCAAATTTCTCCCAAAGCATGTTCTGGACCAGAAAAAGTACCATTCGGAACGAACTGCACGATCACGTGTAAAAAGGGTTTCGTGCTTGAAGGACCAAAAAGTAGAACATGCGGGGGACGTTCTGGTATCTGGACTCAACGTCGAACCGTCAATCGTTGTGCAGGTTGTATAATAATTTTTATTTATTAATGAAATTGAATTGTTTTAATCGATGGTTCTTTTCATCTTCAGATAAAACACCACCCTCGATAACGTGTCCCTCTGATATAATCACAGAGAATCTACCGGGAAAGAATTACGCATACGTTAATTGGACAGCTCCGACAGCTATCGATAACGTGGACGAGTCACCTACGTTATGGAGTAAACCGTACATTAATTTTCCATGGAAAGTGAAAATTGGTACACGTACAGTGGTGTACGTGTCGCAGGATTCATCTGGCAATAAAGCTAGATGCAAATTTAAAGTTAAAGTCCTTGGTAATTATTTTGCCTCTGTTAATTACTTTATCATTTGTAAAAATATAAAAATGTGAGGATGAAGTCATACTTTCCAAGATTTCACAGCTACCTTTCTTTCTTTTTACATGGATCGATTCTTGTTTTTAAAAAAGTGAGAATTATAATTACACACTTCTGCTGTAATAATTTTAGATAAGGAACCACCAATGATCGAGAATTGCATAAATCCTCCCATACTCTACACTGACAATGGAATTGGCGTATATAACGTAACATGGGATGAACCTGGTTTTTACGACAATTCGAAAAGCCCCGTGCAGGTGGAACAGAATTATCATCCCGGAGAAAATATATTTCCTATTGGATCAACAAAAGTAGTATACACCGCTATTGACATGTATGATAATAACGCGAGTTGTATACTGAACGTTACTATAAAAGGTACGAATTACAGTAGACTCTTGATAACTTTCTGCGCATGGTATTGTAGGGAAGGAAATTTCTGGGAAATGGTTACTTAACAAATGTCCCCATTGTAGAACTAATATATAATACTTCACTAGAAAAAAAAAGCATAACGACACATGATTAGTATTAGTAAAAGTACATGTGGAGGGTAATAGACCTCTGCGGAAAGTTAGCGAGCAGCAAGGTATCAAGAGTCTACTATAATTGAATATCCCACAAGATATGATAGCAAGGTTTCTTAAGAAGTTATTATTAAATTATAATATATCATTTATCTTTATGATTGATAGACATATGTGACGAAGTTCCGAAGGTATTAAACAGTTACTCAAGATGCTCTAACTTATCAAATGAAACGAATGAATGTGTAATAAATTGCGATGAAGGATTTGGATTTGCTACCGAGGATTCAAACCATCAGATTGTGGAAGATATATTGTTGTTAAAATGTAATACGAACAATTCGAGTTGGACCGAAGAAGATTACACGCCTGATTGCTCAGGTGTTTTATTTCATTCGATTTATACAAAATAGTGATGGAAATTTTTGCTACACAAAAGTCAAATTACCTTCTTTATTTTGTTACACAGAATCGAGTGTTCCTAAAACAGTGTCTCAAGAAGGAAGCATCGTGTTAGAAGGAAATGTTTCAGTCGTATGCGATAATCAAACAACCCTTCGCGAAGTAAATTCATTTTTATCTTATTGTTGAATTATAGTAAAAATTCTTTAATCTTTTCTTTACCAAATTTTCTATTATTATTTTATTTTAGTTAAGCCAATATATTACCGCCGATTTGAGATCAACATTGCTCGACATTTGCGGAAATGACATCGAATGCAATCTCATTACTTTCGATCCTGAATGTGAAGAGAATCTTTCTGCAGGAGGGAACGTTTATTCTAACTTGACAAGAAGACGAAGAGAATTGAATTATTATGACATTTCTAGTACTGAGTTACACGAAATTGATACAATGATAATGAACGGCGTCAATAATAAGGAAAAACGAAATGCTAAATTAAAGGATAATAATAAAAATAAAACAAAAATGAAGAAGAAAAAGGAGAAAATTGAAATAAAGTTCAAATTTTTAGGTAAAATATTCTAGATAAAAATTACTTAATTACTTATTCGTAAGATATTAATAAATAATTATTTAACGTAGGAAAAATAATAGAAGAAAATTTTGAAAATCCGCGAGAAGGGGTACAAAAGTTGAGACAGAAAATCGAATCATTGTCTCAGTCTGGAAAATTGAATTTGTTAAACAATAAAACGAATGAAGAAATTGCAAGACTTGCATTGAATTTGCATCTCGTTTTCAAGAATTTCCAGGAGCTTTGCGAACCAGGAACCGTCTTAAAAAAGCATACTTGTGGTGAATATAATAAATCATAATATTCATTTGATATCATAATTCATTGAAATTTTATGGTAAATTTTATTTGAAATTTAGTAAAATGTCCTTTGGGTACCTTCTTCGATTCATCGACTAAACGTTGTCAGCCGTGTCCTTTCGGTGAATATCAGGACACAACTGGATCCTTAAAATGTAAACGCTGTCCAGAACACACTTTTACAAGAAGGATTCGTTCAAAATCTTTACGAGATTGTATACGTAAGTATTTCAATAAATCCATAATAAATTAATTACTACTCCAAGAATTTGGATACTTTATAATTTAATTTTTTGATTTATAATATTTTTACATATTGTATTAAGAAATGAATACCACAAATTTCATATAGATTTCATTTCCTCCAGGTGTTTGTAGACCAGGATACTATTCACGAAGAAGACGTTACTATGATACAGGTTTCGCTTTAGAGCCTTGTCTAATGTGCGACATAGGATTCTATCAATCCGAATATGGGCAAACTCATTGCCTTCCATGTCCGCCTAATACAACTACAGAAAATCGTGGAACTAAATATTTCAATGATTGTCTGCCATTCTATGAAACTGAAAGTGGTGTCTGTGAAACAGAATCTTGCTTGAACGGTGGACAATGTACGCAAGAAGAGGATAGTTTCAGTTGTGAATGTCTGAACTATTATATTGGTACGAGTTTAACATTCTCAATTAAAGTACATATTATTAATGATTTATAGAATACAATGTTTTACAATAATTGTAATACTTATAGAGGTAATAGAGTTACCTATACATAGGCCCAATTAAAATAACTGAACCAAAATAATAATTAATAATTAATTGATATCAATTGATATTACATTTATATTACATAGGTTCAAAATGTGAAACATTTCGAAATCCATGCGATTCTTCGCCCTGTTTAAACGAAGGAACATGCAATGTGCAAAATTTTGGAAATGGTACAATTTGCTATAACTGTGATTGTACAAATGGATATTCAGGAAGTAATTGCGAGGTAAAATCATCTTTTCTTTTCATCGAAATCAAAATTGTAAATATATTAATGATGAATGCAATTCTTTATAGTTATATATCGATGAGTGTGTTGTTAATCCTTGTTTAAACAACGGTACATGCGTGAGCACTGAAAATGATTACACTTGCGAATGCAAACACGGTTTTGAAGGTACGTATTCAAATTATTTAATAAATATTATGAATAATGGAATGATTGCGAATATTTCTGCAAATACATATTTTCTTATCTCTTTTCGTATTGCGTGAGTCTAATGAAAAATTTCAGTCTAATAAAGAATTTATGATTGTATTAAAAAAATATATTATTTAGGAGAATTTTGTGAAATTGCTATGAACCATTGTGATCCTTCGCCTTGCATGGAAGGATCCACTTGCAAAAATATTAACGAAACTTGGCAGTGTTTTTGCAAACCCGGCTTTCTTGGTCGTTATTGCAATTTGCTGCCCTGTGATTGGTTGCCATGTAACGAAAATTCGTACTGTATTAATATAGAAGAACGAAATGCAACAAGAATGAGTTACAGGTGAATGTACTTTTATGGAAGGCAGTATATTATTCATGATAAAATAATTATTTACTGTTTATCAGGTGTGAATGTATCGATGGATATATTGGAGAAAATTGCACGACAAGGATTGATCATTGTAAAAATGATCCATGTTTGAATAATGGAAAATGTGTTAATGGTGTCTTCAATTATACCTGCGTATGTTCTGTTCCATTTACAGGACGCCATTGTGAAACTGGAAAGTATAGTCTTGATAAATATTCTTCTATTTTATTCCTTATGGAAATCAGATTTTGATTATTAGTTTTATTGTTTATTACTGCTATTGGAATATTTACTGTTCATTTACAGAATTGTCATCCGATTATGTTGTACAGTTTACTAAATCCGGAACGACGGATTATGTTAGTATGAAAGGACCAGTGACGAATCTCTTAGAGGTATTTGAAAAATACTGCCACTGTGATAAAGCTTTAAATTTATTACTTTAATAAGTAGATTGAAAATAATTATGCAAGTGCATATTTTCTATAAATATCAAAAATATTAGAAAAATATTAGAAATAAAATAAAAGAAATAAGATTTGAAGAGAAATTCATTTTACTATCAATTCTTTTCGGTATATAAATTATTTTCCATATATTCTACATTATTTGATTATAAATTTTAGTTAACAATGTGCTTATGGCTTCAATCAAAGGATACATTTAACTACGGTACAGTGTTATCCTATGCAACAAGTTATTACGATAACGCGTTTACTTTAACCGACTATAATGGGTAATGTTCCTTACTAAAAAAAAATGGAAAATTTTTATAGATCAAAGAAAAACAACATGTCTTAATCTTGTAGGCTTGTAATATATATCAATGGTCAGAAAGTAGTGACTGATATTAAGGTAAACGATGGTCACTGGCATTTCATATGCATTACTTGGGAAAGTGAATATGGCTATTGGAATATATTCATTGATGGATTTTTAAGAGACAATGGAACTCATTTAGCAAAAGGAAGTGTAGTCCAAGGTACGATGTATTCCCTTTGTTTAACTTCACAATTTCAATTTCATTTGTTAGAACAAAAACTTTTTTTCTCCCTCCTTATTAATAATTACTTCTGTAATTTTTACATTTGAATATCTGAATATGTTACATTTGATTTGAAAAACTTAAAATTAATTACTTTGAAAATAAAAAAAGGTAGTGGAACCCTCGTGATTGGTCAAGAACAAGATCGTATGGGGGGTGGATTTTCGGAATTAGAATCCTTCCTTGGAAAATTAACTTTGCTGGATATTTGGAGCACAGTTCTAAAAACGACAGACGTGCACCACTTATTCAACACCTGCGACAAATACCATGGCAACGTAATCGCATGGTCACAGGTGCAAGAACACATACACGGTGACGTTGCGGTAATTAGACGTTTCTTAAATTGAATAAAAAGAAAAAGATACGTGTAAGTTTCTTTTGGAATTTCATATTTTTAGATATTAGGCAGTCCATTTTGTCGTGGCTGTCCCTTACCCGTTGTGCCATTTAAGGGTAACATAAATGTCAGCGATGATGCTTTGGAAATTACTTATTATTGCGACAATGGTTACATGGTGCGATTTTATGGTAAAGAATACCGATCTTTGAGAGTTAAATGTCTTAAGCAAGGACAGTGGGAGGGATATTACACACCTGTTTGCACCAGTAAGACAAGAAACTTTATATTATTATGCTTAATTTAAAAAATTATTTTCTAATTATTTTCTAAGTATTTTAAAAGCTGATAATATTGTAACGTATACACTGCAAAAAACCCCGAACATACTTCTATCAGTGATCTCTTTTTTAATATCAAAAGGAATACAAAATTATAAGAATCCTGAAGGTGTAACATTTTACCATGTCGATTATTTTAATTGCTACAGCATTTAATGTAGGTATTTCTTATTTTCACTCGAGGAAGGAAATGTGGATTTCCGGGGTATTTTCCACGAGGTCGTATGCACGGTAGATCGTACTTATATGGGGATGAAATACGCTATTCGTGCTTAACTGGGTACGAGCTTCGAGGAAATCCACGTAGAATTTGTACTGCCGACGGAAGGTGGAGTGGATTACCTCCAATTTGCATAGGTAAAAATCCTACATTTAGGACAAGGATTTTAGAATTCTTTCTAAGATCAATCGTAATCGCTTTCTAAATCATTTCCTTCGATAGGAAAAACGTGCAAGAATTTACTGGCTCCAGAAAACGGTGACATAGAATATGTGATAGAAGAATATGAAAGGGATGATCTCTCTATTCTACAGGTGCGATATTAATTATCATTTAAGAGATTAAAAACAAATACTTGAGAATTTTTCATTTATAGGTAGGGCAACAAATTGAATTCAAGTGTGATGATGGATTTCATTTAATTGGAGAAAAATTTCTGACGTGCCTGGAGTCTGGAGTATGGGACCATGATAGACCAATCTGTGTAGCTAACGGATGTCCACCCCCAAAAGAGTAATCGATACAGATTATTTAACAAAATATAATTTTATATCAATAACATACTTAAATATTTATACAGGATCCAACATGGCTATATGATCACTGAAAACTCGAACAATCTGCAAGAACCATCCACCAGAAATTTCATATTACAAAATACAAATAACACTTTCGAGAGGAATTATCATTTTGATGAAATTATTGAATATAATTGTCAATCGGGATACAAGTTTCGGGGTAATTATAATTTATCGACAGAATTTAAGCTTCGATGTGCCGAGAATGGTACCTGGATTGGATTCGTTCCTGATTGTGTTCCTCTGAAATGTCCTTGGCCCAGCATCATAAATAATGCCAGAATATTTTTAAAAACTGAAAACGACACCATTGAGCTCTTCAAGAGAAGACCAACTAATGTTACAAACCTTGAAATCATATCGGAAGAAAGCGAGGATAGCTTTGAAGAGGATACAATTTTAGAAGAGCAATTTATTAATGGATCAGAAATTCTAATAAAATGCGACATGGGATATAAATTGATTGATAGTGATGTTAGAATTTGTATGGATAATGCAGAATGGTCATCAGGTTCTTCATCTTGTGAACCTCAAGAGTGTCCTCTGTTAACCCATCCAGTTTTTGGACTCTTTTATAAAGGGATGAATTTAGATAATCATACAGATATTTTGAGGAATGATCAGAACATGAAGTGGACTGACAGAGATTATTACAGTGGGTCATATGGAAACATTGAATTTTTCGTAGAGGGCGATACTTATATGAAAAGAATAATTCTTAGCTGTAGAAACAATATAGAAATTAAACTGAATGATGAATCTGTTTCTAACTTAACATGGTCTTGTAACGAGTATGGTGAATGGACAATAATTAATTCAATGTTAAATACTACTACAATTGAAAATTTATTGAAGAACAAACTGAATGATATTTGCCAAGAGCTTATGTGTGCTTCAGTAACAGTAAGTAATATAGAATTATCCTTTGAATTAAATATGTTCATGTAAGAAACTAAATTTGAATTTACTATTAGATTCCAGAATATGGATACATTGTTAATAATAATTATTCGAGAATAATTAATAGCACTGTTACATTCAAATGTCGTCAGGGTTACATTATTGAAGGCAATGAAATGTCTGTTTGTTTGCCAAATATTACTTGGTCTGCTATTCCCTCATGTAAACGTAAGATAGTCGTTTATAAGAGATATATGCATATTAACATGTCATCGAAAATTAACGTGGATTATGTATTTTAGCCGTAACATGTGGGAAACCACCTAAACTTACAAATGCAGTGATAAAGGATACTGTGGAAACAGCAAATTTTACATTTGGTGATACAATCACTTATAAATGTTTGCCTGGATATTTAATGTTTGGCCAACCGAATATGAGATGTCTCGCAAATGGAAAATGGTCTAGGACATTTAGCAAATGTTCCAGTAAGTTATATAGTATGTAACATTGTACCATGTCTTTTCTATCAATTCATTTTCACAGGACTTTCATGCAATAAACCAAAACTTCCAACCGGTGTTACTGTTCGCGGTCGTTCGTATTTGTATCAAGATCAATTAACTTATATATGTCCTGGTAGTAAGAAACAAGGACTAATCACATGTCAAGCAAATGGACAATGGAGTGATCCACCAATTTGTGACAAGATCTAATATGGGAGATTACTAATATAACTATATTTCTATTTGAGAATCTACAATAAATCATCATAGCAAATTTATCTGACAGATTTTTTTATTAAATGCCACAATTATTAAATCTTTGATGACTTCTTCATTTTACATTTGGTAAATATATTCTCACAAAATAATATCACTATACAAGAAATGGTGTTCTGTCAATAATGAGTTTCAATTGTATACTTAAAGACAATCTACACACTTATACGCGTATTATATTATAATTTCTGAATAAGGTATAAGTGGTTTTAAATCATTAACGAGTGTATAATACTGAGCATTTGTTGAGACTTCAGATTTTATCTAAATTAGTCGATAAAATCAAACTTTTTACTGATATAACAAGAAGTTGTATCATTATATGCAACTGATAAAAGATGTTGGGATACAGCAATTTTTTTTTTTAAGTAGTTAGTAATAGTGTTACTATTACTACTTTGTTAGTGTTGCGTATAATAAAAAGAAAAAAATAAATATATGTAACAATACATTATTAGTAATTTACCACATATACATCTGTTCATACTGAACATCACATTTTGGTATAAATAGGATTCATACATGTATAAACGCACTGTATCAGAATAGCTGGTGAAGAGCAATGGAAAATAAAATCGTGAAAGTAACATGTAGTACGAAAAATTTGACTGATTTATGTTTATCTAAAACTGGTATGATAAAAATGGAGCACCTTTTATGATACTTAACTTGCATTAACATGGCTACACTAAAAGGAGTTATTCCTCTCAAACAAATGTCATTACTCAATATCCCTAATTTATATCTAAGATATTGCTTAATAATACAGTTTAAAGAAATATAATTTAATATTACTTACTGAATTTAAGTATCTATGCTGACTTTTAAAAATCCAATTAAACAATTATATAAAATGATCTCTTAGAATGAATAAATTATATTTTCAGTTTCGTAAATAATAATATTAAAAAGCTTAGCCATATTAACCTAATAATTTATCTACATCACTGAACACTTTTCAGAGTTCTGATTTTGAACTATGAGAATATTTAGGTTTCAATTCTTCAATTCGCTTAATAAAATCTGTCTTTTCTATACAACCTTCACATGTTTCATCCCACTCACTCAGGATTTTTTTTAAGTCACGTACTTTGAGTTTCTTCAGGTCTACAGTGTTAACATCAATTTGTTTTTCTGGAAAGAAATCATATTGTTATACTTTCAACTCCTCCCCCCAAAATACATACAAATAATAAAAAATAAATATACCAAATCTTAAGTCACATATTTGAGCATCCATCTTTTTCAGCTTTTCACATACTTTATTTGCAGGCATAGACCAAGATATGGGTTTACTCAATTCACCTAAAATACCTGTTGCAGATTCTTCTAAACCACCCAAATAATAGCACTACAAACAAAATAATTAAACATCATTAGAGATTAATACATGTATCACTACGATCCTTCAATATTTTTTTCATTATAATAGATCCTTACAAATCTATTCTCCTTGGATTTAGTTCCTTTACAAAATTCTTTAAATGCTGCTTCTATTTTCTTTGTATTTTTCTTTACATCATCACTTAAAGTATTAACAAATTTCTCCACAGTTGAAATACATACTGCAATACCACCAAATTAATAAAACTCACAAAGATAAATCATAAACAATAAAAAAAACATAAAAACATTTACCTTCACATTCATCATTTTTTAAAGCTGTAGTAACAGATATAATTCCAATAATTATTGAAAAAATTATCAACATTGATTTATTCATTTTGAATGTATAATCCGCTGAAAAACAATAATTTTTTTAGTTATATCACATAATGTAACATAAAGTATTAATAATTGCCCCAATTTGCAATTTTATATAAAACAGAAGTTAAAAGGTCATACCAGAAACATATTTTTAACAAAAGAAACGATATTAACATCGAACTACATGTGTATTTTACATATTGCTCTTTAAAAAATGCTTACGTTTACTATGTTTACTAGGTTACAAAAAAAAGCAATAGGAGTATGCTTTACATACCACTGTACCAATAATGTAATCAGGTAAAAAATATGTTGATTAACGTGTAACACAAATATATAGAATCCTTTATCTTATGCAAGTATTATTTTAATGAATTACTTGATGCAACTATGTACATCAATCTTATACACGCTTCGTTTTATACACGTTGGATTCTGTCAAAAGCCCGGAATCCCAGCTGGCGCATTCCGATTGGTCCTAACATAGTATGACGCACATTTAATATAAGTGTATTGTGATTGGTTAAAGATGAACTGGTGAAAAATTAAAAACAAAACTAGCAAAGGGAGTCATGGGAATATTATATTATCGAAGAACTCATTATATAACTAAGACTAAAGACTGTAAATCTACGTTCTGTAAGACAAACAGTAGGTCTTAACAATATATGTATGTATACCGCAGTTCACCAGAGTCCATAACTGCGACGCGCAGGTTGGAAGATGGTGGGGGAACGCAGCGAGCTCTCCGCCAATCGCTTTCCACTTCGTTTGGGAGTATCGCCAATCAGGGCGAAGATGCGTACTGGAGATGCGCGAAGAACGAAAACTGGTCTTTTCGCAGTTATGGACTCTGGTGAACTGCGGTATAAATACATACATACATAGATCTACCCTTTTAGAGATTCTTGTGTGGAAGTCCTATTATACAGGTCTCTCCCGCTCCACGCTAAGGGATAGTAGAAATTATAATGTGGCTAGCTGCACTAGAAACTTTAAACAACGCCACACGTCGGTATTGCAGCGGCACGTTTTAACTCTAAGATTGTTTAGACAAAGGCATGTCTAGTCTTATTGAATCTGTAGTCACTGGTTCAATCGTATCACTTCTTTTTGTGTATATACAAACCATATACAATTAATTTTAAGTTTGGTATATTCCTAGTTCCGTTCAGCAATCGTGACAAATTATACGTCGTTTGATTCGTTTTATTGAGTAAATTAATAATATGATTGCGATTATTTGCGAAAATGTATTTGTGAGTTTAAACCTGATGCAAAAAAGACAAACGTTTTACCGTACGGTACAGAAATATTTCAAACTTATCAGTAAACCCAATTAATACTGGAATACTGAATTAAAACTATCTCGTAATTAGGAAACGAAATTCGTTACCGAACAATGAGAATATAATGTATTAGGGGAAATATGTCCTGTGAGTCCTTTCAAGATCGACAGGAAAACGAAATTGAGGTTTTAAAGGTATGGTATAACATATTGAACTTTGTTCATCTTAAAGTTTAAAACATTGTAAACATTACATATTCATGAATTAAATGATTAAAACCCTTTTTACAGGTAAGCAGTAAATGCTATGTATATGCTTAAAAGAGAATTTAGGGTTTATTTCATCTCAGATATTTGTCAGATGCTTATAGTGGCTTACCAGAACATTTGAAGCTTTTAAAAAATGAAACATATGCATGTGTTAAGCTAAAGATATCAGAACAATGATATTTTGTTATGTGCTCATTGGTTTATCAGAAAGTTAAATGCTTTTTTAATTACAGAGTATCTTTGGAGATGAACTTTGTGATTTAAGAAATAGAAAAAATAGAAGGAAATGGCAACCGTTAGATGTCAATATTACTTTAACACCTCAGAAAGGAATGTCAGGTCCAGCCAAGGTGTATGTACAAATAGATTTACGTGTAACTTGCAGCGATAGATACCCTGTAGAGTGAGTATGGTAACATAATTTTTTGAAATTATAATTGATTCCTTTAAATCAGTGTATATCCTTTACTTCCTCAATATCAAATTTGAACTCATCTATTACACTTTCTCCTACTCTAGTATGGTTCAATTTTATATTATACTATTAATGATATTGATGGATTATCTACTTTGGGTGATTTTGAAATTCAAGAATTTTCAACTTATACCCTGGATACTGAGATCGTTGATACCGATACGAGAGATTCACAACACTTTTTTATAATGTTATAGAGTGCCAAAGATAGTGCTAAAAAATGGCAGAGGTTTATCTGATCAACAAATTGCGGTATTATATGATGAGTTAATGGAACTTACAAAACGACTACAAGGAGAAGTAATGATTCTTGAATTAGCGCAACATGTTCAGAAATATTTGTACGAGAACAATAAACGAAGATACAACAGTTTCTATGAGGAGATGATCTCAAGGCATCAAGAGAAAATCAAATATGAAATGTTAGAGAAACAATTAAAGGAAGACAAAGAAAGACAGGTGGGAAATGCATTGATATGGGCTCATGTTTCTTATAGGAAAGTGCCAGTGTATTTATACACAAATTTCAGGTATTACAAGATGAAGTACAAAAAAGGCAAGAAGCTTTAAAAGCTGAACTTCGGAATAGAAGAGAGTCGCTTCGTTTGTTTAGCGATGCATCAAATAACTCGTTTCAAGTAATACCCTTATCTTCCCAAGAGAAATCACGAATTTACTCTCGAAGAAGATGTGTCAGTACTTCCGAAACTTTGGATGGGGTTTTATGCGAACATACGGGTACGAAATTACTACATTTCGATCATAACAAAGGTACAGTAATGCCTGAATGAAGGGCACGACGTCCTCGCCATCATATCTATATCTGTCTTTGATCATAATTAATAATAATTTTTACAGATGATCGAGAAGTGTACCGAGCAAGATGTATGGGACACAGTACCCAGGGATCGGTAGTTTATGCAGGTGTTGATACAACAACTGGAGAACTGTTTGCAATTAGTGAATGGATGTTAAAAACAACTAACAAGAGTAATGAAAGTAATACTCAACATGTTATCAAGCAAATAGGAAGTCTTGAACAAGAAATAAATCATTTGCATAAATTGCATCATCCAAATCTCGTTCATTACTTGAACATGAAGTATTTGCAAGATGGAGAAACTATAGTTATTTATATTTTACAAGAATTTGTGGTAAGTTTGAACTGTGAGAGGATTCAATGAAAAATGAATATTGCAGGCATCAAATTTCTAGCATTAACAAACATTCTTTAATAAATAATAATTATAAAAGTAGTATTCCGATTACTTAAAATCTGTTTCACTGTTAACTATTGAATACCAGGTTGGTACTAGCTGTTCCTTTTTCTTATTGGAAAGCATCCCAGTGGACATCGATCTTCTTCGGTATCTGGCGACTGGAATCCTTTCTGCCTTAAGGTACCTTCATGAAAATAATGTTGTTCACAAGGATCTACGTGATACAAGTATTTACATTGATCGTACAGGACTGGTTAAACTATTAGATTATTCGCTGAATAAAAGATTATCTGATATATATCAGTCATGTACCGCAATTAAATCAGTGCCAGATTTTCCCAGTATTCAAAGCAGAGGCGGGAAAAAAGCGGATATTTATCGTTTTGGTGCTTTAATGTTTTCCTTATTAAATGGAATCGTTGTTTCTGGAGATCAAATCGATCCAACGGTGATAAAACAGGTATATTTTTTATTTTCCGGAAACGTTTAGATTAATTAGTGTTGGTATAGGAAACAGAAAGTAACTTATATAAATTTGAACTTTTAACCATTCATATTGATATTTTATCAAAGAAAGTCTGCAGAATTTTTTTTCAGTTTCTCTGTAAATTTTCTCTAAGATCTTTAAATGTTTCAGCCTGATCTCCAAGATTTCTTATTAAAGTGCCTTATCAATGATGAACGAAAGCGTTGGTCAGCTGAACAATTGTTACATCATTCATTTATAAAAACGCCTTTAATTCATGCTTTATCACCTCCAAAAATACCACGAAGAGATGAACAGGAAAGTCAAGAACCAGAGGAACCGGATACTGATATTCGGCAATATGTGCCTTTATTAGGTGGTCATTCAAGAATTACAAACGAGTTCGAAATTCTTGACTGGCTTGGCCGGGGTGCTTTTGGTGATGTTCTTAAAGTGAAGAACAAATTAGATGGTGGAGTTTATGCCATTAAAAGAATAGAACTGAATCCTAAAAACAAACAACTTAATAGAAAGATCACCAGAGAAGTTAAATTATTATCTCGGATGAATCATGAAAATGTAGTACGATATTATAACTCGTGGATAGAGAGCTGTACTATAACTAATAAAGCAGAAGAACAATCTTCCGAAAAAACATCTTCAGAAAAAAAGAGTCCAAATCTTCTTAATGTAATTATTTCAATTTTTTTATAATTGATTTTCTTTTTACTGATTTACGGTTTAGCGTTATTCGCTTTTTATTGTGTTCTTGTTAATAAAAACATTAGAAACATAAAAAATGCTACAAATTTGTTCACATTACAAATCATCTACATGTTAATGCCCAGCATTTAGGTATGGACGATATTGAAAAATTGGCACCACCGATGCAAGAAGTTGAGTGGAATGTTTCATATAAATCAAGAACGAATGCAACCCTATCGGCTGATAGCGATGACGACAACAGCGATGCGTCGAGCGATAGTGACAGCGACGAAGATTGTTCGTTTCTGTAAGAAACTCAATTTTAAAGCAATGATTTGTAGATAATATTACACGAGTAACTTTTTATTTTAAAGTTATGTAAATTAAAAATGTTTCTTCTTTTCAAGAAAATATACTAGAGAATGTATTTTTTTTTTGTAACATATAAGTTATAATAAATTTTTCAGGATGCAAAATATTTTAAAAATCGACTCTTCTGACAATATAGAGTTCGAAAGAGATACAAATTGTCAAACAACGATATCAAGTATAAGAGAAGATGAAAATGGAACAGAAGAAACAGTTAAAGAGATTCAATTTATGTACATACAAATGGAATTTTGCGAAAAGAGCACATTGCGGACCGCGATTGATGGAGGTCTTTACAAAGATCTCAAAAGAGTTTGGAGATTATTCCGAGAAATTGTTGAGGGTCTAGCGCATATTCATCAACAGGGTATGATTCATAGAGACTTAAAGCCAATGAACGTATTTTTGGATAGCAATGATCATGTAAAAATTGGAGATTTCGGCCTCGCGACTACGAATATATTATCAACATTTGTACAAACTATAGAAACTGATAAAGAATCGCAAGGCCTAGATAAGAGTAAGTTTCACAAAGTAAAAATTGATCCAAATTTGTGAAATGATCTAATGTCAATGAATTTAGGGATCAGTTTTGGCACGGATGATGTGGGTTCCCTGACAGGACAAGTCGGTACAGCACTTTACGTAGCTCCAGAACTTACAACGAAAGCAGCGAAAGCCATTTATAATCAAAAAGTTGACATTTACAGTCTTGGAATAATACTATTTGAAATGTGTTACAAGCCTCTAACAACGGGAATGGAACGAATAAAAGTTCTACTTAATCTGCGATCCAAAGAAATTATACTTCCATCAGAAATGCAGCAAACAGACATGTCACGTCAGACTCATATTTTACGGTAAACATTATAAAACAAAATGTCTGTAGCTTTGATACTTTATTTAATTTATTATTGCAGATGGTTATTAAATCATGATCCAAGTCAACGGCCTACAGCTCAGGAACTTCTCTCTTCGGAATACCTACCTCCTCCTCCACTCGAGGAAACAGAATTACAAGAAATGATTCGACGTACTCTTTCGAACAATCAAAGCAAAGCATATAAATATTTAATATCATGCTGTTTTATGCAAGAAGTTTCACCAGCTGACGATATTACTTACGATATGAATGTACCATCCAGAGGGCATATGAATTTTTTAACTTGGAGGAAACATCAAGAAGGAGTTAAATGCAAAGTAATCGAAATTTTTCAAAAGCACGGAGGTGTTTATTTAGGAACTCCTTTGTTGATGCCAAAATCGCATCAGTTTTGTAGTTTTTCAAATTCCAGTGTGAAATTAATGACTCGTAATGGGAATATTGTTTGTATTCCTCATGATTTGCGTGCCCCATTTGCAAGATACATTGTATGGAACAACATACCACACATTAGAAGATACGCTATTGAAAGGGTCTTTAGAGAGAAGAAGGTATATTTGACATTCTTGTTTTATTTCCAATAATAAGAATTTTACTTCATTTTGGTTTACTTCGGTTTTAATTAAAATTTGTTTCATAAATTTTTAGGTATTAGGTTTTCATCCTAGAGAACTATACGAATGTGCATTCGACATAATCAGTCCTACTCCTGATAATTTATTAATGGAAGCCGAATTAATATACATTGTTTGGGAAATAATCAATGAGTTATCTTTATCACAAGAACGAAACTTCACCATTTGTCTGAATCATACTTCATTACTACAAGCCGTACTAATGTACTGTGGAATTGACCAAGAAAAATATCAAGATATTTATTCGATACTTCGCGATGCACGTGATGGAAAATTTTCAAGGTTTCAAATACAAACGCATTTAATAAGTTTATGTTTGACTGATCAAGCCATGGAAACGTTGTTTAACTTATTCGAGAGTGAAAGCTCTCTTACTAAAATTCACAGTATTTTGAAAACGATTGCGAAAAGAAAAGGGGATGCTGCTACGTTGGCTAAAGAAGGATTGAAAGAAATTGAGCGCGTGATGGAAAATATTGAAGCACTTGGAGTGAAGGTATAATTTTATAATATGAAAGAATATCTAGTTTTCTTCTCAAATTACAGTAGTATCCGTCTATAGTTTTATTTTTAAATATTAAATGTTTCAGTGGTCACTAGTTATAGTACCTCTTCTTGTACATAATATAAATCAGCACAGTGGTATCATCTATCAAATAACTTATAATGTCAAAAGACGAAGAAGAAAATGCGGAGAAGAAGTAATAGCAGCAGGTGGACGCTACGACAAAATGTTATCTTCTTTTAAAAAAATTCTTGAACGTACAGGAATGACTAGCAAAGAGATCAAACAATATGGTGCTGGAATTAGCGTGTCACTAGAGAAACTTATATCTGTCGTTTCAGAAACTACTGAATCTGTAGAAAGCAAACATGGAATGTATGTTGCCATTTCCTGTATCGGTAATAGTTATAGAGAAAAAGAAATGATTGATCTTTTGAAAGAATTATGGAGTTTGGGACTGAAAGTAACAATTCTAGATTTAGCATCCGTTGAAGAAATCCTTGAGCATTGCCGAGAAAATCTAATCAATCACGTTATTCTTTTAAAAAGTGGAGAAAAGGGATGCGTAAGGATTCAAAGTTGGGAACGTGATAGATTTCAAGAGAAAAAAGTAACCAATCAGGAGATTGGTGAATTCTTTCAAAGACTGGATAATTCTATGCCTATTTTAAATAGATCTGAAAGCAAAACGATAACAAACGACAGTTGTTTAAGTAATAATAGTCCGGTTAATATTAATATCAATTTTATCTCGTCTGAAAAGTCAGAAAAAGTTTCTGGAAGTTCTAAGAGAAGTTTGAAGAATTCCATACTTGCTCAAATGTCAACATATTTTCAAAGAATTTCCCATAAAGTTCCAATCGAAATTTTTGCAGTATCCTTAGATATGAGTGTCATAAGGACGATCATATGTTTTCTGGAAATTGATGAAAAGGAACATGACTTTTTGAAAAGTGTGCAATTAATCATAGAGAAGTAAGTTTATAATATTTCTGACCTAATTACCAATAAATATAGTTTCTACAACTAAAAAGACCATCTTTTTCAGACATCCAAAACATAAAAAGTATATAATGGAAATATGTGAAGAAATGCAAGAAGCGAGAAAAGAGAAACAACGACCGGCACTAATACTATACAGCTTAATGGATAACCAGTATATGACTCTTTTATAAACAAGAATGTTTTCCTACAAAAGATTCATAAAAAGATATGTACAAGATTATAAAAATAAGCGATGTGTAACGTAAAACTGAATCTTAATAAAATGAGTTATCTTTTCTACACTAATTAACACTAATTAACATCATGAATGGTACTTGCCAACTAGTTTCCACTGTTCTCTGATAGATGCGCTAGTGTTCTACCTTTCTGCAGTGACTACAAATAGTCATATGTATGTATGTGTGTATGTCATCCCCCAGTGACTATAGATAGTAGTCACTGCATCCCCCTTTTAGTCGCCTTTTACGACAGGCAGGGGATACCGTGGCCGTATTCTACTCCCCCCGAGCCACAGGGGACTCCATGCAGAACTAATCTCATCTGGGGGTGTCTGAGACCCTGTAAATCATGACCCCTCGAAAACAAAGGCATGTCTACCTTTTTTTTTTGTATTGTAGCCATTGGCGGTAGTTACGATGGTGACCATCAGTAACAGTTAAGAACACATGTTAACTGTACCGGATTTATAATTGCTTTTAAATTGAGGAGAATGGCTAAAAAAATAAAGAAAAATGCTAACAGTGTAAAGATAAATAATACAGATATTAGTGAAAAAACCGTCGACAAGGTAAATATTTATAAATTGTATGTAATATGTAATAATTATATGTTTATATGCATGGAACATGTTTTATGAAATATCTTTATTTATTTAATATTGAAAATATATGTAATATTCATTTCAGAAAAAGAAACAGCAACAGAAAAAGCTTGATAAAAATAAAGTTACTATCATTAGAGATCAAAATTTACAGTTCAAAAGTAAATTGAAAAAGAACAAATATCAGTTAGCTAAAAAATTTAAACAAATACAAGGTGAAGAAAAAAGTCGTACATTTACTGATATTGTAGACCAGAAATCTGTGAAAATTTTGAACCCAAAGAATAGAGGTGAAGGTCCAAAATCTAAATTTCAAATTGTGAATAAAAAACAAAGGAGAAAAGGTAAAAACAGTGAGCGGCACAAACATAAAGAACAAAAGAAAGAAATGAAACAGAAAAAACAAAAGAAGGAAATGAAACAGAATGAACATAAGATAAAAATTAAAAATTCTAATCAGTCTAAAAGTAAAACTAACAGTGATAAACAATTTTTAAATGAAAAGCAATGTAAAAGTACAATGCATAAAAAGAATAAAAAACAAATTGGTGATAATAAAACAAAAGTTGATTCAGCACTACATAAAATCAAGAAAAAGAAGAGTACTCCAAAAAAGCATCAATTAGACATTAAGAAATTAAAAAAATTAGTAGCTACTAAACAAGAGGAAATTAAGGATCAAAAAGAAAATACAAAACCACGATCCTTAAGAGAGCGAATGATGACTAAATTGAAAGCATCTAGATTTAGATATTTAAATGAATCACTTTATAGCAGTGAAAGCTTAGAATCTAAAAACTATTTTAAAAATGATCCTGATGCATTTAAAGCATATCATGAAGGATACAAACAACAGGTTGATCAGTGGCCCTTAAATCCTCTTGATATTATAATAACTTCAATTAAAAAGATGTTGGTATTACTGTTATTTCAATTTTAATCCTTTAATTTTTGTATTAGTAATTCTATCTATATTTTAGGCCAAAGACACATGTAATTGCTGACTTTGGATGTGGAGAAGGCAAACTTGCTGTTTCTGTTCCCCATAAAGTGCATTCCTTTGACTTTATTTCGTTGAATGAAAATGTAACTGCTTGTGATGTGGCACACACTCCATTATTAACAAGTGGAGTAGATGTTGTTGTATTTTGTTTATCTCTTATGGGAACTAATCTTAAAGATTATATTATAGAAGCAAATAGAGTACTTAAGAAGAAGTGAGTATAAGTGTATAATTAAATGTTAATTTATTGTATTTATACAACAATTAATGTAAAATATGTTTGCAGCGGTATTTTGAAGATAGCTGAAGTTGAAAGTCGATTTGAACAAGTAGAAGATTTTATAAAAATATTAGAGAGTTATGGTTTTAAAAACACCTGGAAAGATTTGTCCCACAACTTATTTTATTTCTTAGACTTTAGAAAAGAGAAAGACATAGGTAACAAAAGAAACAAGTTACCTCCTATTGTTTTAAAGCCATGTTTATATAAAAAAAGGTAGTATTAAAAAAAATGAACTTGTATAACATATCACATGTACCATAAATGTATCTACTTTAATAAAATTATCATGTTTTTTATTTTTATTCTACGTTGAGTAGTAAGTATAATATTAAGTTTCAAAATACAAAAAACTGTCCCATAATGTTTTGATACCATATTCCCTTAAAATGAAATCAAATATACTATGGAAATTTAATCTATGTGCCTGCTTAAACAATGTGCTATTCTTTAAACACATTGATCTGTTGGCACAATATACATACAGCAGCTATAAGGTAAAATTTACTTACTTTATTTATAACAAAATCATTTTATTAATATAATGTTTTACAAATGCTTTTATTACATAATATGTCCCCTTTTTTCATTTTATATATTTGAAAATCACACGATTTAAATTCTCTTTAAATTATTCATATTTATACCATCTAGAATGTCCTCTGTTTCATCTCTCAGATTTTCTACTTTTTCCAATATAATCATCTGTAAAATTTAACAAAAATAAAGTTAAAGTTAAAAATGTAAAAATGAAATATTAGTATGCACTTAATCTTTAAGGTAGTTACTTTAGCAGCTTCAATAATTTGTGTAGCAACTTTTTTACTTAAATATTGAATTTTGTCTTGCAAATCCTTTGGCTGTACTTTAGCTATACATTGTACTGTTTTGAAACCTGCATTATACAACTGACGTGCTCTACCCTGGAATATAATTTGTTATAATTTAAATTTATCATAAACTTTTAGTATTGCTACAAAATAAATATAAATTTCTTACAATTTTTACTGATGGTAAGTCCATTAGCGCTTCCAATTCCGAGGGACAACAGTATGATAACTTTTTACTAAATGTATTTAATAAATCTTGAAATGCCCAAAATTCGTTTAATTCCTATAATAAAATTATCTATTAAAATGTTGTTCAATTTAAACATAACGTCTTTATTAATTTACCTGACAAAATCGAACCACAGAAAATGCAAATGATGATACTGCATTTAACAGATTTTGTACAACACCTCTGTTTACTTGAAATTTTTCTGCTATAGCATACACTTCATGCTGAGTCCATAGTTCGTATAATATTAACGTTACGTAAAATCGTTGAACCACTCTTGGTTCCACCTTCTATTATGTTTAAGATCATTTAAATATAAAAATATATTTGGTACAGAAAAACTAATATTTTTACTTACTTTAGGCATTATACCATCGCGTATTTTACTTATAGTTACTTCATTAATTCCAAGAAGTCTTGCTGTTTTCATTTGTGTCTCTGATAGATTGATTACCTAAAAGTTTCATAAGAGTATTAAAAAAATATTATTAATAAGAATCAGTATTAGTAGAAATTACAGTAAAAACATTACCACGTCATAATAAACAGGTCCCACTATTTTTATCTGAGATGTTATATCATATGGCGTAACAAGATATAACAGATGTAAATAATCAACAAGAATTAAATGTTCCTGTGTTTTTTTTAAATCTTCATATAATGTATATGCACACTGCATATCGATGCAACCTCCAATGTAAAAATACAATTAAAATAATGAATGTCAGTTACTTTATAAATTTATTTATTAATAAAATTAATTATACCTTTCATAGCTGCACGTCCTAAACTGCATAATTCTAGTTTAGTGTCATTTCTAATTTTTATTAATTTCTTTTCTTTATTTTCTATAACTGCATCATTAGAATTTGTAATTTGTGAAGGAATAACAACGCTTATATTTGGTTTAAACTCATCAATATTTCGACTAGGATCTTTTATTTTCAGTACACCACTTTTCAAAAATTCAGTTATTGTTGTGTCCACAATGTGTTTAATATTTACATCTAAACGCTTTTGTTGAATATTAAGTAATGTTTTTTTTGAAATTTTATGTAATTCAGATCGAGTTGTTGCTATAGAAGACAATAAAGCGCTTAAAATTAAGTTATTTATGCCTCTGTCTTTATTCACGTGTAATGTGCTTAAACAATCATCCATCTTAGATTCCAGAAGTTCTTTTACCTATGTAGTAAATGTTAATATGTAATAACCGTTTTATATTTGTAAATTTATTATAGTTATATGTTAATTATTACTTTAGATAACTCATCTCTTTTACAGATAAGTATACTTTCTCCTATGTTTCTCATACCCGTACGTCCAGCTCTCCCAGTCATTTGCTTATATCTACTTAGGTTTACAAACTGGTTACCAACATATGGACATCTTAGTATTACCTGTTATATATTTCTTTGTAAGAATAAATAAATAATACTACTATAAGCAGTGCATAATAAATGAAGTACCCTTCTAGCTGGTAAATTTACTCCAGCTGCTAGTGTTGATGTACAACATATTACACAAAGTGTTCCTACTTTAAAAGCATCTTCCAATAACCGTCTTTCTTCAGTTGTAAGACCAGAATGATGATAAGCTACACCAAATGTTATGGTTTTCTGTAAGATAGGACAAAGACCTTCTTCACTTTTAAGTGCATTCAATAAATTTTGTTTCTCATCTTTCTTATGGATTTCCAATGATCTAAAAATGTTTATACATATAAATAATTATAAAAGCTACAATTTTATACAAACAATTAAGTTAGAAAAGATCTTACTTGAATAAAATTCTAGTTAATAACAGCGCAACGTTTTCGCAATTTTTCCGACTTGAACAAAATATAAGACATGAATCTTGTGGAATTACATCCATTACTAAACCACCAAGTCTATCTGGATCTATGAATGCTGCATCACTTGAATACTTTTTAAACAAGTAAATAATTTAAAAACAAGGATAAAAGTCTATTAAATGTAATAATTTATATACTTACACGATAATTAATTTTCTTCACATCTGTTAATATTTCTTCTGCTGTAGGATCAAATAACCAAATATTGTCCTCGCATTTAACATATTCTTTAATTTCAACTGGACGAAAATTTTTAGTATACACATCTGCGTTTAAGAATTCTGCTATTTCATTCAAATTACCTATTGTTGCACTCATACCAACAATATGAATATTTTCTAAAATATCATTCATTTTTACTTTTATTAATTTCTATTAATTCTATAGTAAAAAGTATTCAAAATATGTATATATTTTTTACCATTAACATACAATGTTTTTGCTAAAATAACTTCTAGTGTAGCACCTCTTCCTCCACTTTCACCAAGTAAATGTAATTCATCAACAATTATAGTACCAATCTAAAATGTTTTGAAATAATTATAGTACATCATTATTAGGATATTAACAATCTTGTTATTTCATTTTATATTTTTACTTACTTCATTAAAACGTTTTTCTTCTATTAAACTATTTATTAGACCCAATGCCTTTTCTATTGTACACATGTATATACTCTTCTTTTTACGACGTTTTTTTGGAGGATAAACTCCTTTTGATGCAGCATATTCCTCAATTAAGAAATCTAATTCCAATGCAAATGGTGCCATTGCTTGTACCTGCGAATTATAAATAAATATGCATGTTTTATATAAGTGACTGAATTATACAATGAATCATTTATTACATTATACAAATAAATGCTGACCTTTTCTTGTACTATAGCAACAAATGGTAATATAAATATTGCATTTCTTTTATTACATATAATTTCCTTCAGCATCAATATTTCTGCAACCAGTGTTTTACCTCCACTTGTAGGAAGTGCATAAATTAAATTTTTTCTATTTCTTATTGCATCTAAACTTAAACATTCATCTTGCCACTCTAAAAACATTAAATGCTTGTTACAAGATATTAATACTATATTCTATTAACATTAATGAATACAATACTTACGATATAATGTATTAATACCCCTAATTTGTGAAAATAGTTTCTTTACTGTATTTGATAAACCATAAAATGTATCATCCTTTATTGAGGTTGAATGATTAGTATCTATACTCCATCTGTTTATTTTCTTATCATTTGAACAATGTACTTTACTTGGAATTACATTATTATATTGAATTAAATTTCTTTTCAATAACTTTACATTCTGATGTTCCTTATTTGATGTATGTATATTTTCCATGAAGGCTGATTCTCCACTATAATTCTCAAATGTTTCAGTGGCAACCTGTTTTTTAAAAGTAAAAAATTTTATAATCAGTCATTAAATATACATATATACACTAAATAAATAATTCAACTGCATTGCATAATACATAAAATATATATTTCACCTATATAGTAGTATTGAAGAGAACAGTATTAGAATTAAGCAAAAGAATACAATGTAGAATTATTTATAGTACACTTTTAATTATTTTTTAAAACAATTCAAATGTTTCCAAACTTCTTGACGGTAGTATATATATATATATATATATGTATATATAAATTATAGTGATTAAACACTCACTTGAATACAATGTTCCATAGCATCATTTTCTTTATTAGATGATTCTAATTGTGTGAAAACTTCATTTAAAAATGTATTATCTAGCCAATGATTGTTTGCTTCAGGAGATATGCCATGGAGAATACTTAAAGTATTTTCTTCCCTAGCTTCAATTTGAACATTATTTTTACTTTTATCAGAAACTTCCAATTTTTCATTACTTTCACACGTATCTCTCCATTCGTGTGTGAAATTGTCCAAAGTTTTTTCATGCATCTCAGGACTTACTAATGCTTCATCATCTTCAATACATCTTAATATTGTATCATCCATAGAAAGAATGGAATCAATAACTTGTAAGGATTTAGAAACAATTTCATATTGTCCTTCTGAACTTTTATTTACATTCACGTGACTATTGTTTAAAAAAGAATTTGTATTTGGCATAATGATTATATCAACAATCATAAACAATTTATCTTTAATTGTACAAATATACATATGTTATCACAAATTATGTAAACATTTAATCAAAAAATCTAATCATAAGTAAATATTATATATGTATACATTTATTCATTAAAAACAAAATGATTGTATCTTTATTCCCTTGAGTAGTAAAAATTGTACATTATATATACATATTTACTCAGTTTATTTCTATTCACATAAATAATATGTATAATTAATTCAACAAAATTATATTTAACAGCATCAGCTGACCCCACGTTGTGAATAGTTGTGAGATAGGTATACAATATATTGTATAGTGTATATATATGAATAGTCAAATGTTACTTGCTAAACATAAAAAATAGAGAAGTGAAAATGAATACTCTTGCGAAGTCTTTTGTGCTTAGGGTAAGTTTAAATATGTAGCACATAAAAAATGAATTCTGCAATTATTTAACTACATAAATAATGTAACATTGAAGGTTAACCCAGTACACTCAGTAAGAAATGTTTCGGCGAGTTGTACAAGGCATAAAGATGATTTTATTAATCTAATTCATCCGGAAGGCCAAGAACCTACTATACCACAATATGTTGAACGTAATGAGGAGGGCATAGATGTTAAAAGAGCTCGGTAGTAACAAATATTAATAATTAAAGTAACACTGTATTCTTATCTCTTATTATAAAATAATTTTATTACAGGCTAGTATATCAATCTCGTAAACGTGGTATGTTAGAAAATGGTCTTCTTTTGAGTACATTCGTAAAAAAATATTTACATGAATTTGATGATAAACAATTACAATTATATGATCATCTTATAAATTTACCAACAAATGATTGGGATATATTTTATTGGGCCACAGGCGCAAAGCCTACTCCAGCTGAATTTGATAATGAAGTCATGGATTTATTAAAAAAACATATTAGAAATGAGGATCGTCAGGCAAGAATAATGCAACCTGAATTATAGATATGATAGTATTTAATAGTTATAATTTATAGTACATTTAGGAACAATAAAGAGAATGTTACCCTATGTAAACATTATTTTCCTATTATATACATAGGTAAGTGATATTCATTGTAAATATGATCTGAATGAAAACTATTGCTGTTCATTTATAAAAATAAATAATTATATTGATGAGCATAACATTGTTTTCTAATTTTTTATCAAATATAAAATATACACTGTTCTATTTTAAGTTACTATGAAAATAAAAAATTTTATTAGTAAATTTTATATAGATACATATACATAGTTCTTAGAACTTTTTTTTTACAAAATCAATACATAATACTGTTGCATTATTTTTAGTTAAAAAATGGCAAAAATGCCAGTTTTTTATTATGTAACAAACTAAATCATGTATACAGAACAGTCATGATCTTATATCACACTCTCATGAATACAGATATATAATACAGAATAAATATATTAACCAAATTGCATATATCTATAAGGATTCGAGCTATAGTCTTTTTTTGTATTTAAACTTACAAGTCCAGGACCTTTACTTGAACTTGAAGCTGCATTTTTTCCTTTTGTCGTTGTTTTTCCTTTTTGCGTAGTACTAATATAATTAGAATTATGATGTAATACAAATAAAATTAAAAATGATAAGTATATATTTATACATTTATATATCTTACCTCGTTGTAGTGCGTTTAAACTTTTTCATTGTGTTTCGGTAATTACTTTTACCTTTTCTTTTTGTACCTCGGCGTTTGTTAAAGTTACTAGTAAAAGAAGAAGTGTCATTATCCCAAGTACCATCATCGTCGTTATCGCTACCGTTACTTTCCGCTTGTTCTTCACTTAATAGTACTAAAAATACAATTGTTCAATTAGTCAATTAATATAATGTTCAGAAAGTAATATAATGTTATTTGTACCATATTTCTCTGCAGCATATTTTTGAGTAATATCCAACAAAGCTTTTCCATATTTTTCGAAATTTGCTTTAGTTACATGCGGTATTTGTAACATAGCTTCTTCAGTGTCTGGAAGTTTCTGGCTCATTGCTCTGATTGCTATCATATTCATAACTGAAGCCGCTGAAATATCAAGTGCTCCAGCAATTCCTTTTATTATTTCCATTAATTCTTTGTAACAACGTTCTTGTAGCTCTAGAAGAACTTTATCGATCTTTTTCGTAACCGTAGATACTGTAGCCACTGCATTAGAACTATTGTTAGATGATTTCATGGGAATTTCCACCTATTTTAGAAAAAACATTATTATATTTTAATGGATATAAAAATTGGTTGTTTAGTTATTTATCGTTTTTATTACCTTTATATCCTTTCTTGTCATTAATTCATTAGCATTTGGACCAATCTTTAAATATGCACAAGCTATTTCATTATTTATATACATTGTTTCTTGTAAATAGTCTTTGAGCACCATATTATGTAATAGGCGTTCTATATCGCTTCTGTTCCATGATCTTCCACGGCCATATAAAGGCAGTTTATTAAGACCTGTATAAAGATTCAATAGTAATATCTTAAATTGTCTAAATGAACTATACATATACATATACATATACATTTATATCTTATACCTGTTTCTCTTATTTTCTTGAGATCACTTCCCTTAAATATATCTGTAAGAAGTACTAATGTAAGATTACAACTTCTCGATTGATTAATATCGCGTACAGCTTTCATAATTTGTTTTGCATCTTCCGTTGCATTTAACATTGTAAAATCATCCTGGAAGATATTATGTAATTTTATAAAATTCTTATAAATTAAAAAGTATTAATTAACATAAAATACATTGTTTCGAATTTTACTTACTTTACATCTACAATTGTCACACGATGTTGGTTTATTAGCGATGCATTGTTGTCGATTGAATACTTCTCCAAAATAATTAAGTTGCTGCGTTCTGCGACAATCTGTTTTATTCTCACAAAATGATACCATTTTAAATAAATTATCTATATTAGTTTTTATTGCATCAGGATTTGAGTTGTCCATTTCAATCATTTTTCTTATTCTGTGCATATCAACATAATTATAAAATAATATACAATCCGCGTTCTCTCCATCACGACCAGCACGTCCACTTTCTTGATAGTAACCTTCGATAGATTTTGGAAGAGCTGCATGGATTACAAAGCGTACATTTGGTTTGTCAATACCCATTCCAAACGCTATTGTTGCACAAACAACTTTTATCTAAAATTTATTGTATTGTATCATCGTGTATTTATAAATAAAGATTATAGTTAGTTAAAATATAATTCCATACTTCTTCTGAAATCCATCGACCTTGAATATTACTTCTGTTATTGTCTGTAAGCCCAGCATGATAGCTTAATGCTTTAATGCCATTCTTTTTCATTTGCATCGCATAATCATCACATTCTTTACGAGATAAACAATAAACAATACCACAGTCGTTTTTGTACTTTGTATTTATCATAGCTATAACTTCATCTGAACAATTTTTTCCCTTCTTTGCAATTATACTATACCTTAAATTCGGCCTATTGAAGCTCGACATAAACCTGAAATAAAAAAAAGGAAAAATATACTACAAGAGACAAAATTAATTTTAATATAATTACATACCATTTTGGTTGAGTAAGTCCTAACTGATACAATATGTCAGTTCGAACTCTGGGTGTAGCTGTTGCTGTAAGAGCAATCATTGGTACTTTAGGATATTTATCTCTAAGACATTTTAATCTTTTATAATCAGGTCGAAAATCATGCCCCCATTGACTAACGCAATGTGCTTCGTCAATGACGAACCTAGCTAATAATTCTCTTTCATACAAGGTAGTTAAGAGATTACAAAATTTTTGAGATGCAGATATTTTTTCTGGAGTTACATACAGTAATTTAAGAGCTGGTTCTTTTTTTGAAAGTTCTCTATATATTCCTTCTGCTTGGCTGTCTGTAATTGTACCAGACATATGTGCAGCTGGAATCTATACAATATTTATTAAGAAATTATAATTTAAAAATTACAATCAAATATATAAAAGATACATATATTATTACTAAAGTAACTTACATCAAGAGAAGTAAGCTTCTGTACTTGATCAAGAATAAGACTTTTCAATGGTGAAATTACAATTGTAATTCCACGTAACAAGAGAGCTGGCAGTTGATAGCATAATGACTTTCCTCCTCCAGTTGGCATTAAAACAAAACAATCAAATCCCAACATTGCAGCATTAATTGCTTGCAACTGATTCGGTCTAAATGAATATAATCCAAATTTTTGTCGAAAAATCTAAAAGGTTAAAAAGTATCGTTAAATGCGCCAACAAAAATATATTTATATTTTTCTACTTATTAATTCAAAAATAATTTAATAACAATTTGTTTGAATAAAAGGAAAAAATAACATACTTCACCTTTAACATTTCTCGTGAATGCGGATATGTTAATCCATCAAATTCACCACTAACACCATCGTTTTTGTAGTTTCCAGTGAAAATACCGATTTCAGTATTTGTTTTAGCTGTTTTTTGTTGTTCTTTGCCATATTCATTATCATTAATATTTTGTGTAGCTACTACTTTAAATTTTATAAAATTAAAACATATAATAATAAGTAAAAAATTATAATTAAGTCTCACCTGATTTTATATTACATTCTTTATTTAATGCAGGAAACTGTTCAAGTTCTTGAGTTAAGCAGTCAACTATATCTTCAGAATATAAAGCATCATCTACGATAAATTTTAATTATAATATATATATATATATATATTAAAATATTTTTTAGAATTTTATGAATGATATAGTTTACCATCTACATTCAATGTATCAAACCAATCCTGTTGATTATTTTCACATTTCAATATTTCGCTACTTCGAAGGTCTTGCTTCTTTTCTTCTGTGTAACATGCATCTTTATTGATTTCAATTCGTTTTGCTTCATAATTATCAAAATTTGTATAATTATCAGAATTAACAGTTACTGCTTTAGAGTTTACAATTTTAGACTGTTTATCTTTTTCCCACATTTCTTCAATTTGTTTTGCTTTATAATCATCAAAATTTATATAATTATCAGAATTAACAGCTACTGCTTTAGGGTTTACAATTTTAGACTGTTCTTCTTTTTCCCATATTTCTCCAATTCGTTTAGATACTTCAGAACCTATAGTTGCTTTAATGGGTCTTTTTAACTGAAATTTACTTTTTTTCCCTTGAACTAAAGAATCAGTAGATTTTACTTGATTGGGTGAACCATATGAATTAATAATAGTATCTTTTTGTTCTTTTACTTGTGATTCATTCTTTTTCTCGAAAAATTGAGAAGATCCTTTTACTATTGGTGAAACCGTATTTTCCATTTTCATAGTATTAATGGAACTTGATTCTGTATCAACCAAATTAACAGTGGATAAATTACAGCTACTGCTATCTGAAATACTTAAGATTGATTGTCCTCCTGAAGTTCCAATTATTTTAGATAACGGTGAACTATTTTTAATTTCACATAATTTATCATCTGCAGGTCTTTCATTTTCATCAGTTTTTACGTGAATTAACTTTGTTTCAACTAATCTTATTTTTGCTTTGACATGTTGGTATAAAATTTTTAAATTCTGAAATGAATGTTTGTTGAAATCCGGAAATTTTTCTAAAACAGGCAATGGAATTTGATCTAATGCAGCATAAAATTTTTCAAGAACTTCTATTTGGAAATCTTTCAGATGTTTGTATCTATCCTCTAATTTTTGCTTTGTGACCTAAAATCAATTTAATAATTTTAGTAATTCAGCAAAAAACAAAATATCACTTATTAAACAACATGGTATTTACAGGTACTGAAGACATTATTGGTTTCTTCCTTGAAGATTCTATCCAAGGATCCAATTGTTTTCCTAAACCTAAAGGTTTCAAATTTAATTTAAAATCTGGTCCTATCCATTTCTTCCTAGAAATTTGGATAGGACTATGCTTAAAACTTGGACTACTATCTGAATCCGATATTATGAAGTTTTCATTCTTTATATCAGTAGAATATTTCCTTGGAGTCCTTGGACTATCATCTCCAATTAATTTTTTTTCATTTATTTCTGTTTCATAAACATTATTGTTATCAGGTGATTCTTTAGAAGATACATCATTAATGGCAGACCTACAATCTTTGTTTACAGATGGAGAATGTTCATTTATTATTGATTCCTCATTGCTACTGTTAAAGATTCTATTCTTTCTATTTAAACTTGAAGTTGGTTTTACTCTTATATCATCTTCACTATCTGATGAATAAATAACTTTTGTTTTTGATTTTTGTGTGTTTTCAATTGTAGAAAATTTTGGGTTACATATACTATTAGATAGTGTTTCCTCTTGCTTAGCATCTTGATTATCTGACTTTTTAATAATATTAGAAGAATCACAGAGTGACTCATTAGAACTATCCTAAAATATAATAAGCAACATGTCAAATTATATTCATTTACCCATTTTTTATACATTATATAAAATAAACATACAAGAGATATAATAGATGATTTAGTATTCACTTCTGATTTCTTTACATTATCAGACTCATGATTTTTACACATATCCAAACCTTCATTTAACTGTAAATTTATATTTGATGCTTTAGGGGTGCTATAAAAATTCAATAATACATTGTATTATTAGCATTAGAGAATTATTTAAAAATATTTAATATTCTTAAAGTATAAATAATATATTATGCTACAATATTTTATAGTAATTTAAATCATATATCTTATATAATACAGCATTAAATGTTATTAGTAAAATATTTTAAATATATATATTTTTCATACCTGGATTGCATCTGTTTATTTTTCATTCGTTCAAGAAATCCTTTAAATGTAGGTTGTATATCATTTTGGCTCAGTGGAATTTTCTTTGACATTTTTTTGAAATTTTGAGAATCATCAAAATTTCAGTCTTAAATATATCAAGATATTGCTCGATAAATGTAATTGATTATGCTTATATTTAATTGTATGATTTGTATGCATGTGTAATATTAATTATTATAAATGAACATAATACATACTAATTATAAAAAGTAATTGAAATATTACTGTAAACACACATCTCCTGTAACTGCATGTGTTTTGAAAACACAAAACATCTTTGGTGTTATTATATAAATGAATCCGTAAGCAACTTATAAATTAAAATACTTATTAAAACCTTACTTTGACACAAAATTAAACATTTATAAACATATATTAAAAGAAGTTTAGTTTCATTTATAGTATTTAAATATAAAGAAATTTATTCTAACTATTACTCTTTACATCTTACACAACATATATATTATTCTTCACATTCTAGGCGCCACAAGTGTAAATCAGTTTCAAAGTTAAGAAAATTAAATAACTAAAAGTCTCCATATTCAGAAAGTGAAGGATTACGTGAATGTATGTATACCGCAGTTCACCAGAGTCCATAACTGCGAAAAGATCAGTTTTCGTTCTTCGCGCATCTCCAGTACGCATCTTCGCCCTGATTGGCGATACTCCCAAACGAAGTGGAAAGCGATTGGCGGAGAGCTCGCTGCCTTCCCCCACCATCTTCCAACCTGCACGTCGCAGTTATGGACTCTGGTGAACTGCAGTATAAGTACATACTTATTCATATGTAAAACTTGACTGTATACTGTAATATTCTAAATATATGTATATATTACATTTTGTGTATGTTTTATGTTTATTAATATTTCTTTATAATAAATTACAGTATGAAATAATTAACTTTTACAGTATGACAACATGTAATAGTTAATAGTTCCTACATGAACTATATCGTTCCGTTTACCTAAGTACTGTGGAACATCCAAATGAATTTTATTTCTGTATATAAAACTTGTTCAAAAAAGATTGTGTGAATATTTTCTTGTAAAATAATATATATAAACGAATTATGAAAGATAAAATACACATCAATAAAATCAAAATTCTTTGATTTTAAATGATAACTTATTCTCATTGTAAATTACAATCATTAGGCTATAAAATGCAAAGTTAAATAAACTGGAAATGTGCACAAATGAATGAAGTTCTACAACTATTTTATTATCAGTAAATATCAATAAAAATAATTTCAGTAAATATATATCTTTTCTAGTTTTTCTTTTTATGTTACAGGTATATGGAGTATGAAATTATTTAATATAATTCCTGTAGAGAATACTCTTTATTGGGATTGAAAATTTAATGAAATTATTAATAGAATCAAGGTCTTGAAATTACCCTAGCCTAGTGTTGATAACCACGTCAATCATTATCAGTATATATAATGTAGAAATGCGTATGGTTATTCCATTAAAGTGAAACAGCTCCATAGAGTAACTTCATTTATATGGCACATGTCTGGTAGATTTCAACATTTTATTAGATTATAAATACCTGTAGTTTTAATGTTAGATTTATTTTTGTTTCCGACTAAAAATAATGTTTTTAAAATTATGAATATTTCTCATATACATATGGTTTTAATGTTTAAAAAATTTGTATATACATGAATTGTTACGTAAAGTTTATTTTGCAGATAATGTTTAATAATGGACCAAATATGTAAAGAACCACACCTTAATATAACAATAGATGAAAATGAAATTGTCGATGGTGCTAAAGAAATAATTAAAAGAATAAGACCTATGTGGCCACTAAATAATTTGCATTTTAAGGTAAAAAGTTATAAAATATAATCTAGACTTATATAACATTTTCATGTATGGATGTGTAAATATTTTTTTTATAAATATCTAATGTGGTGTTTATTTTTATTTATGTACTGTATAATTTTTAAAAGTTTTCAAATAAAACATAAGTTGTACTCAGATATTTATAGTAAGTCTTAATATATCTTATAATTTTATGTACTTAATTTTTTTTTATTAAGTGAAATACAGAATAAATAAGTACAGTAAAAATTATAATAATAAACAAAAAAATTAGGGTCAATGTATCCCCTATCTAATACTTAACTTTATCTATTGATAACATGTGTACTTTCTTTTAGTTTGTCATGATAATAGGCACCCTACTGTGTTATCAAATATTTACCACGCTTTTAATGGTGGTCTGTTTTTCATGTTTTGATTATGTAAATAACATTTACAGTACACATTTTTTTTGGAAAAACAACAAAAACAATATTTAAGTATACAATCATATTAATTTTTACTTCCAGATATTTACTGATGGAATCACAAATAAACTTATAGGAGTATGGTATTCTGGGCATTACAATGATATGGTTTTGGTTAGGGTATATGGACATAAAACAGACTTGCTCATTAATAGAAAAGACGAAACAAGAAATATTCGAGTAAGTACAACAGTAAAAAACATTGTTACATAAATAAAGAAAAATAAAGATACATTTTCATTTTTCAACAGATATTGAATAAAGCAGGTTTTACACATTCCCTTTATGCCACATTTAATAATGGTTTAGCTTATCAGTTTATTGAAGGTAATACTCTTACAACAGAGACAGTTAGAAATCCCGATATATATACATTAATTGCTAAAAGAATGGCCCAAATGCATAAGCTTAACCCTGATAATGATGAAATACCAAAACAGGCTTGTATTTGGAATAAGTTGGAAAAATTCATGGAAATAATGCCAAAAGAATTTTGTGATGATACCAAACAATCAAGGTAATGTGTTATAGTAAACATTACAATATTTAATTTATATTATATATCTGGTTTATTATTCTCACTTTCAGGCTTGAAAAACTCATAAAACCGTTTAGTGTATTAAAGCAAAATTATCAACTTTTAAAAGAGGAACTTACAAAATCAAATAGCAAAGTAGTATTTGCTCATAATGATCTACTACTGGGAAATGTTCTTTACAATCAAAAGGAAAATTCTATCACTTTTATTGATTTTGAATATACTGCATACAATTACCAAGCTTTTGATATAGCAAATCATTTTGCTGAATTTGCTGGTAATTTGAACATATTTCTAAATATGATTTCATATGAAGCTATTTTGTAATTATACATAACTTATTTTAGGTATTGATAATCCTGATTTTTCTCTGTATCCTGAAGAACAATTACAAAAGAGGTGGTTATATATATATCTTCAGGAATATAATAATGTAAACTATGTACCTGAAAATGAACTTAATTTGTTGTACGTGCAAGTAAATAAATTTGTTCTTTTATCACATTTTTTTTGGGGTTGTTGGGGACTTATACAAAGTGAACATTCAACTATTGACTTTGACTTCTTAGAGTAAGTGTATAAAGCATCCTATTTTCACTAATATTTTTCGTAATAATTACTAATTATATTTGTCAATCTGTATACTGTTTTGTAGGTATGCTGCAATACGATTTAATGAATATTTCAAGTGGAAAGAAGAATATCTTAACATGGAATTGTAAAATTTGTTGTTATATTTTTATTGTTTGATGTGTTTTATGGATTTAACATTCCAATTTTGTTGTTTTTTGTTTGTTGTGTTTTGTTAAAGTAACATTCCAAAGTAAGCATTGATATTATGTAAAAATTGAACATTATTTATATATAATAATGTACATAAGACTGTTATAAATATTAAACAGTATTACAGAAATAAACAAAGTAATATATGGAAGAAAGATACTGTCTTTATAACAGTGTTTAAAATAAAGCAATGTAAATAACGTATTTATGAATAAAAATATATTTTTATTTAATCAATAATATCCTCATGCATGTTTTTAATATTTAAAATTTAGGAATATTCCTGTAGTCATGTTTTGCTACTTTTCTATATTTGTTTTAAAATTTAGAACATCTTAAAACGTAAGTGTATTTATTACAGGTAATTTCAGTCAAATGATATATTATTAGTAGTTCATAATGTTGAATAAATAATAATTCCTCCATGTTCGCATATTGTTCGCGTGTATAAAATGAAACAGCAATTATTCAGTAGTAAAAGTGAGATTTATGTATTACATTGATAATGTCAAGGAACTTTATTTTTATATTTGTGAGTACGTATTAGTAAGTATGTATGTATGTACATATGTTTAAGTCGGTCAATTGACTAGCAAGTATGTTTTCGTCTGGGGTGATCACGTACGCATCTGCACGCACCTACCATAAATCAGTGTTTATTTTTAGTAAAGACTTGGAAGATTTTCGGAAATATTTGTAAATAAACGCGATTATACCCAAAAAATGTAGAATATTATCTTTTGATTGAAATGTGAAAAATCATTTGAAGCAATATATACATAGAAGCTCTGAATATCGCTGTATTAAACTACCTGTTTATACGGTGTAAAACTCAGACGTAAATATATTCGACAGATCCACGAGCTTCGGTAAAATTCGTTTACTTGGCTTTTAAGTGTGCGAATCTGTCACAGTATATAAATCAACTTATAACACGAATCACATAATAGAGATAAAACAAACATACATGTATAAATACCGAAAGTAAATATAGCTTTTTAACGAGGTGTTTTCTTTAATCAAATAAAAACAAAATATTTCAGATTTAATAATAGCGCGAAACTTACGACTATTAAAACAATCAACTTCCCAAGTAGAACTACTACATATTTTGTACTTTCTATTGTTCTGTTTCAATTATTTATAAAAACTTTGATTACTTTTAATTATAAAAGCTAGATGCTATAAAGAACAAAGGTCTAGAAATATATTTCATACACTACGAGGAATATTAAGTAAATTGTGTATATATCGTGTATACGAGCCCCGGTATTGTGAAATAGCGTGGTGGTTTTTTAAAGTTTCTTTTAGAAAACGTATACTGATTGTGTAAGATGCATATTGCATGCAAATGTTTAAACGTGTCCATAAAATCCAGGGGCACTGAACTACAAAAGGTCAACATTAATGATATTGAATTGACACCTGAAGAACAGAATGATGGCTTTTTTCATCAGGTGAGACTTTTTTTCCTGCAAAATTTTATTTACAAATGATATAATTTTTTATAATTTATAGTTATACATATAATTAATAAAGTAATTCATAATGTTTAATGTATACTCGCTGTAATAGAAAAATTGCTTTTTGTTCAACTAGAATCTTTCAACTATATCAGAGCTTGAAGGTATTACCAAGGAACAGCCAGGTTTAGTGGAAATAAGAAATGTAGGATCATGGGTTATTCACCGTTGTTATAATTGTTCTATGTATACACATGCTGTTCATAGAGACTATGGTGCTGCCTTAGTTCTTATTAATACCGATATTGTTGTGAGTATAATATATAATTTTGTACTTTTACATATACTTTTGTTATATCATTAATTTTATTGTAGACTTCACCAGAAGAAATCAATAAATTAAGGTCTAATCCAGATTATAGTCCAGTGTTTAGAATAATAATTGCTCACAATACTTTGGATGAACTTGACTATCTGCAACAACCTACCAAATTTTCTGGTAAATTTAGATTAAAATTTAATAACAAATACGGATGTATTCAATTCTTCTTAAGTATATAAATTGCTTATCTTATGTTACCTTAGTGTCACAGTTACCGAATAATATACAAATGGCTTTGGGTGGTCTTCAACAGCAACTTGAGGAAGCTGTTCAACAGCAATCTGCTGAAATAGAAAATAAAATTCGTGCTTTTACAACAGAACAATATCAATTATTAGAGCAGTTCCGTGAAAGAGCTCATAACGAACATAGATTATTAACAAGGTATTGTTTAATGACAAAGTTGTACTTAAGATTTGTTTTGATTTTTCTTTCTAATATGCAGGTTTTTTATTTCAGGTTAATATGTAAAGGAGAAGAAACAAATAGATTAACAAATAATATAGAAACTCCTCCTACAACCCCAGAGAATTTTACAACCAATTTAACTACCTCTACAACAAATACAGTAAATACATCACAAGTAATATCAAATGAAACAAAAGTGATTACTGGTCCTAATATTAAACAGAAATCTGGTGCTAAATATTTTTTAAGTACACTTGTTGTAAGTTTATATTTAGGGAAATATTCGTTAAAAATTATAAACATGCATTATAATATTTACATAATATTTTACAGAATGGTAACATAGATAAAAAAGACAAATTATATATATGTACTAAGGACCCAACCAGTTTTGACACAGAAGCTTTGTTTCCTTTGGAAGGAGTGGAAGACGCTATTCCTAATGATCAAGTTCAATCTTCAGAAGAAGGGTCTGATACAGATGGTTAGCTTATATGTTTCAATGTTCATGATTATTCATATATTTAACATATTTAAATAATACTATTGACAATTGCATTTAGATTCAGGTCAAGATGAAGGAATTCACATGCCAAGAGGACAAAGAGGTGGACATCCTACATTAGCTAAGTCATTACCAGTTAGCGTTCCATCTTTTCCTTCATTTGTACGTAGAACAGTTCAGGATCAAGATGATGACCAGGTATTATTCTTTTTTCCTACAGTTTAAATTACCTCTATTATTAGGTTTATAATATACATTACTATACGCATTGCATACGTGCATATTACATACGTACATTTATTTTTTATTGAAAAGAATAAAACGCTATTTCAGCTGTCAAGAGATCCACATGATCCACATAATATTCGAGCTTCGATTAAGGCTCTAGCTAAGAGTGTTCATGGTGATACAGTATTTGGAGATTTACCACGTCCTCGATTCTCTACTCAAATCTGACTTCATGAGAATTTCAAAGAAAGAGAATAAGTTTATGTTAAAAAAAAATGATTACACATATAAAGTACCTATTATCTATAATTGTCTTTCAGTTAATGTTACAAGCGATTAATGTAAGCTAGTGGTTCTCAAACTTTTTTGTCTGGCGGCACACTGAAATCATTAAACAAAATTCACGGTACTCCTATTATTATTATTATTATTATTTTTTGCTTTTTACAGTTAGTAAAGATACGATTGCTTTTTACATATGAACAATTTAAAATTACGCTGCACCCTTGTGGCGTACTTGCGGTATCCAGTTTAAGAACCACTGATGTAACAAATGCAGACTAAACATAGAAACTACGAAAATATTGATACTTCGCATGCTTTGAATATATTTTAGATTAACAAACTATTTCGAATTGAAATTTTGTTAGTTTGTTGAATTATAAACGAAAGAAATTTTCATACCTGCCTATATTTGAGGCTATATTGTATACATAAATATGCTACATATATATTTGTTACTAATCGTGTAATGTGTGTAGAAAATACAAAATTGTTTATTATTAAAATAAGACTGCGGAATAGGTGATTGGGAAATACGCAATGAAAATCTCAAATGTTAAAACTACTATTAACGTGACGCATTTGCGTTCCTTGTGTCCAAGGCGATCACTATATGTATGTCATCGCTACCTGATCGGCATTCGTTATTCTTTCTGCATGAAGCAGAATCTTCTCTTCTCAGACACGCTCGAAAATTGTAATTTAAAAGACTTTAAAAATCAACGCAACATGAGATTTATGATGCCATATCTGAAATAAAATCGCACTAGAAACAAGTTAAGGGGCAAGGAAAGTTTTTTTTATGTATCAATTAGTAATTAAGCTATTAAAGTGATAATTGTTTTCTAATAATAATTATTTTTACAGTGTATCATTATTATTAGATGAAAAAAACATTTTAAATTGTCATAAATTCAGTAACAAATAACGTACTTCTTTAAATGATTTGCAAATTTTTTGAATTAAAAGAAGGTGTGTACTATTTTGTTCAAAAAGTGCAATGTTTTTGTTTCTGTTTACTACGTGATTTATTGCCTTGAATAGTTGCCGACTTTCGGTATGATTATAAATGAAGTTGAAATTACTATACTCTTGTTTGCAGGAAATGTTTTTTCATTTGTAAATCGTTTCTGTAAAACTGTATAAGATCATTCTAATATACAAGTATGTATGTTGATACACAAAAATGTATGTAAAACATATTATTTTTTAATAATTAAAAACGGATATAAAAAGAAGTTTACGTACGTTTTTGTACAAATATGTTCCAATAAATTTTTTTACTTTACTTTTATATTTTGAATTTACTTTAAATCACTCACTGTATTATCTTTTTTATAGATTTATGTAATTAGTTTCCTAGAATTTATAACTTTTGTACTAATTAATATAGTATCATGTGATAAACTGATTACAGATTAGAAATAATGAATTAGTACAAAAAAATATGTGGCTTTTCTAATCATGTAATGCACGATTACAAAAATATTCACGAATGTTTTATTGATTAAGGTATAAAATTTAAGTGCTTCGAGAATGTAAAAATTAACTGACGAAAAATAAAATGTTGCTTTGTAAAAATGATAAAAGAAGAAGTTTACTTGAATTGTAAACAATGTGTTTAGTATAAATTTATTCACACCACAAAATTTGATATATTTGTTATTATATTTTATATACAGGAACATACAAAAAAGTAACGTTAAAAAATAGATCGTTAGATTCAATACATTATAAAAATTTATTTTATTTTTAAGACAGTTCAAGATTAATAACATACCGGTGGTTCATGAAAGTATACTGTATGTTTGTACAATATCAAATGTCGTGTAACTGAATTACAGACTCTTTAAATGATCTTTTCTCCCTGATTGTGATTAATTATAAACAATACTGGGGTATACGATACGTATATTTATTTAGACAGGGCTATAAATTAAATAATTTCAGTTTGCAATGGACATTCATATGTGCAGCTTACGGCTTTTGTAAACATAATTTAAATATTATTAATGATTGATTGCAGCTTTATTTTTTGCTGCAAGTTCCATTTGTGCAGCGGCTACAGATTTCATACCCTCTTGCACAGCAGATAAGTTTGCTTTCCAAGCTGCAAGTAAATCACGTAATTGCATCCATTGTGGTCGACCAAATGTTCTATGCATGGTACTTGAAATAAGAACTTTACGACCTGCTTGATCCATACGAGCTCTAACGAGTTTCGTCTTTAATACTGAAAGAATAAAGGAATTCTTTTTTGTCTTAATACAAATAATAAACAAAATAAATTCAATGTATAATATAAATGTTGGATACTTCGATAGCTTAGTAAAAACCAATTTTACTAAGCCAGTACAGATTCTTTTTATATACCCTGTATACAATGTCTCCATTTTGATAACTGAATTTGGAGTGCTTCTTTTTGTTCACAGGGTAAATGTTATGTAATGGAACGTCAGAATTTTAACTGCACTATATTCGATATTACTAAGAACTTGAAAACGTTATTTTAACAACTTACCATCAATAATAAAACTTTCTACTTCATCCTCATTAATTTGCAATTCTTCTTGAATTGTGTCAAATGACATTTCAGGATTTGTTTCTGCCAATTGCATGAATGTAAGTAATCTCATCTTTTTCATGTTTTGTTCATGATTCAATCCTAAAAATACAGTGTATATTGATGATACCATGATATATATTTTTCATGAACTTACTACATACCAAGTTGATGTTCTACAAATTCTTTATGATGTTGATAGAAATGTAGATACGCAGGTAATTTGTCTTGAACAAAGACTAGGAGCAGATCGTGAATAAGTTCTCCTTCTAAGAATCTTACAGGTTTTAATGCTAATAGTGGATCAAGTAGGAATGTATTTGGGTCTGCCAGTGCAGCTAAAATACAACGTTGTGCATCTTCCCTGGCAGCAGAAGCATTTTCAGCTGTATAAGTGCCTAAAAGTTCTACCATAACTGCAGCAGCTTGTTCCCTATTAGGGTAATTTTTTATCTAAATATCATTATTACATAATATATAATGTATGGTATAAGAAATTCTATTTACCCTTGTTTACAACTTAGAAGTACTTCATGAAGTAGCCGAAGTAACTTTTGCATTTGTTCATTTGATGGTGGAAATGATGCAAATTGTTGCTTCAACTGATCTATTCCGCTATATACTGCTTTTACTTGATCAACATTGCGAGCAATTTGAACTAAATGATAATAGACATGATATCTCATGGGAGAATCGTCTGACAAAGATTGAAACAATAGCCATAACCTGAAAACATATTGAATTATTATATACTGTGACAAAAATATTTCAAAACATTTTTATAAACTTACGCTTTTAAACATACTAATCCAAGTTTATATCCAGGTGCTTTTGTTAACTTTTCACAAAATGCTAATATTAAATTTTCAGCCCTTTCAGTAGGAATCTGAAATAAAATATTGAAATTTATTTCAAGGCTTTAAGTTACACAAATGTATTCTACTTTAGAATTTTTAAAGCTATGATACATACCACTATCATAATAGATACAATGTCATTTAAAACAGTTTCTATTTCATTTTCATTTCCTTCTTTGAAACAAGCTTCACACACACCAATAATTTTGTGTAAATCATCTTCTATACCTTTAGGAGATTTTTCTTCACTTATTTCAGCACCCAAGCTTTTAAAATACACCCTTAGTTCTTGTGCCTGTAACAAAACATACGATGTAGAATATTTATTTTAAGAATACACTTTTATTCATATTAAAATAAAATATTAGTAAAAGAAACATATATCTGAAAAATTAATGTAACCTATACCCTACGGCAGATTGTAATAAACCAGTTTATAATGTATTACAAGTATCTTATGAATAACATTATAAAAATTTAATTATTTAATATAATGTAATTACTACTTACCTGATCCTCTAAGGGCAATTCCATAAAAATAGGTGGAACCTGCATTTTGATAAGTACCACCACGTTTCTAGCAAACCCTACCTTAAAAAAGAGTAAAGTATATGTATATATAAGTATGTATTTAGATACAATGACTACAAATTCAAAGATGTCCAGCCACATAGAAAATATGACATTTAATGGGATTACGGTATATTTCCATTAATTTTAAATAATAAAAAAAAGGATCCTTTTATTACAATTTTTTACAAAATGTTTTTGCTGCTTACATTATTATTTACATATGTTAATGTGTTAATAATATTAGTAACAATAATCGTATAAATATTCCTTTTTCAAATACAGCGCTGTATTTCACATCGATTCTGATTTCCGTAAAGAAAGGTTAGTCCTTTTCCGGGTGGGTAGCATATCGAGCAAAATGGGTATGTATTGAATGTTGGAATTATATTATTTTTAAAACTGATAGATGTAAATAACAAAGTTTGTAATGTTTAAATCGTTTTCGTAATACATGTAGTTATAATATTTTTAAATATCCAATAATAAAATACCTATTGGCTTTATTTTATATCACGTTACGTTTAACACAACGTGGTTATGTGTATGCAGTTTTATGTAGGAATTATACAAACTGTAGTAGAATTATGACAATTATTTTAGTTGTAGCTGTAATTAACAACATTTTTCAATTTGTCATTAATGTAGTGTACAAATAATAGCATAAAAATGCAAAGATATGACAATTAAATTTCATACATAACGTTTTGAACATGTAGGTAAACCTCGTGGTCTTCGTACTGCACGTAAGCATGTAAACCACAGGCGTGATCAACGATGGAACGATAAAGACTACAAGAAGGCTCACTTGGGAACAAGGTGGAAGGCCAATCCATTTGGTGGTGCTTCCCATGCTAAGGGTATTGTTTTAGAAAAAGTGTATGTATTTAATAATAGTAACGTTTCAAACTCGTTTTTATGTGAATATGCTAATTCAATAATTTTATTTTGCAGAGGTGTGGAAGCTAAGCAGCCAAACTCTGCTATTCGTAAATGTGTGAGAGTGCAGCTTATCAAAAATGGTAAAAAGATCACAGCTTTCGTACCTCGTGATGGTTGCTTAAACAATATTGAAGAAAACGACGAAGTCTTGGTGGCAGGATTCGGTCGTAAGGGTCATGCCGTGGGTGATATTCCGGGAGTCCGATTTAAAGTAGTAAAAGTTGCTAATGTTTCACTACTTGCATTGTACAAAGAAAAGAAAGAACGACCCCGGTCGTAAATTCATTGTCATGTATTTCCAATACATCTATACAAATTTTTAAATAAACTAGTATTTTATTTATACCTTCAAATACCTGTATTTTTATGGCTATAAAAAAAAATACAAAATTACAGAAACGATAATATTGAAAATCAGTAATTATTTGTAACATTTAAAATTTCCTCAGTAGCTACAGCAGTCTCTTCAACAATTTCACTTAATGATGTATTTATTTTGCTTATTTCCTTTGGTATACTTGCATTACATATTTCTTCCTTTGCTTGCAGAAACTGAAAATCCGTTTAGAATAAAAAGGGATTAGCATAGGTAAAAATATTATGTTAATTATTTTATAACAGAAATATATGAAAATATAAAACCTGTGTTAAAGATAAAAAATTAGAATATATGTTTTCTATATCAGCATCCATGGAATACAAATTACTTCTTGTACTTTTTGTTTTAAGCATTGGCCATGATCCAATATTTGAAAAAGCTTCTATGAAATTTTCTTTCTCTGTGTTAAATATTGAAGTTTGCTCTTCCTCATTGTTCTCTTCTCTTTTAATCTGTCGTATTAAAATTTATACTTTTATGTACTCCCAAAAATAGTTTTAAATGAAATTTTTACCTCTGTCGGATGTTCTTCTAGATGTTCCTTTTCTAATTTACAACTGGAAGATTCATCCAACTGCTTTTGTAAATTATCAAAATACTCCAGAGCTTCAGAATAACTTAACTTTGGTTTAACAATAGATGTTAGTGCACTTAGATCTTCATTAATATAGACCTAATTCAAAATATTATTATATGTATATACTTAAACTAAATATTGTGTATATTTATATTCAAACTTCTTAAAGACTTTTACATACATTTAATATATCATCAATGGATTCTTTTTCTTCATACTCAATATCAGATGATTCAATAAACATACACTTTATAAAATCTAATAATAATCTTAAAGTAGAAAGTTCATCTTCCAACTTACAATTTCCCTATAAAATAAGTTTTATTGTTTTTCTATGTAAATAATTTAAAAGAGCTTAAATATAACCAGTAACATACCAGTAATAAATTTTTGTCAGTGCAAATTCCAATTTCAGAATAACATTTGAATAATTCCGCTAAAAAATATAATAAAATATTTGTCATAAAATGTAATGTATTTGTTTATTGATAATGTAAAAGATACCTTCTAAAATATCGCCTTTTAATTTTTGTAATTTAGTAGCTATTTCCGGAGATTTCTCAGTCAAAATCCAAGATAATAATGAAATTCTACTTTCTCCACTAAGAATCATTGAATATACATTTTGAGCTACTGTTGTTGTAATTTTAGGATATCGTATTTTTACTAAAGTATTATAAATATCCGACATTAATTCTTCTGTGTTATTCATTGTTGAAGTAATCTGTTTTTGTATATATCACTTTTTGTATTTTATTTCTCAACTTACTTATAATTCTAATTTTTACAACAAACAGTTACTTCTCATTTTAATTTTTGTAGCATGTTGTAACATTAACTATATAATGAACTCAGAAAGATGACAAGATAATATGTATCTATACCACAGTTCACCAGAGTCCATAACTGCGAAAAGACTAGTTTTCGTTCTTCGCGCATCTCTAGTACGCATCTTCGCCCTGATTGGCGATACTCCCAAACGAAGTGGAAAGCGATTAGCAGAGAGCTCGCTGCGTTCCCCCACCATTTTCCAACCTGCGCGTCGCAGTTATGGACTCTGGTGAACTGCGGTATACAAACAAAGGGTGGAAGGTAGAATAATTTTGTATTTACTTATTTCTTGTTAACTATTTATGCTCATAATTTATATATGTATCTAATAGTATCAATGTAAAAGCATCGCTTTTTAAAGTTAGGTTATGTACTGCACAAACTATACATATGTATATATAGTACTGCAAAACTATATTATTAATAAATCTTTATTTTGTTACTTCTATTACTCATAAAAGAGTATTTATCTATCAGTTTATTTCTTCCGGGATTACAGCAATTACAAAATATTTTAAAAAGTTATCAGGTTACTTCTTACATAATGTACACATTAATAACTTCAAAAAAAATGAAAAATTATAGAAATAGTTTCCAGTACCTTTTCGACACTCGTCTCACTTTATTGCCTTTGCCATGGCACGCTTTACACATTCATTCTGCAAATTAAGTTATTTAACTTTCATAATTCAAATTTACACATTTTATGTAAATTGTTCTTATACATCATAATTAACTATATACATTTTAAACTACTAATAAGGCGGCGGCTGATGTTGATAATGTTGCGGTGGTTGACTTAAGTGCCGCTGTAAATGCGTCACTAGTTGAGGAGTTGGTTGTTGTCCACCAGCATTGCCCTGTTGCTGCTGCTGCTGTTGTACTTGTTGTTGCTGTGCTTGCTGCTGCTGTTGTTGCATTGCAAGCATTTGTTGTCTCATGCGCTGCTGATTTATTGCCTGTTGCTTTAATCAAAATGATCACATTACACATTAATTTATAGTATATTACATAACCACAGTTTTACAACCTGCCTGTTGTTAATTTTGTTGTATTGATATACATTTAACAACTAATCTAACGAGCTTACTTGTTGGAACTGTTGATTTTGTTGCAACCCAACGCTGGCAGTACCTACTCCTGTCACCCCAACTGTACCAGGTTTTCCACTAGTTTGTCTGTAAGGTGGTGCTGGCTGATTTTGAACACCGCCGGCCATTGGACCCATTGTATTCATAGTAACATTTGGAGCCTGAAATACAACATAATATTATAATACAATAGTTATTTTTCTTTTTTTTTCTTTAAGTAGTACCTGAAGGTATGGTGGCCTGGTAGCTCCAGGTTGTAATCTTTGTGGAATATATTCTTGTCCTCTTTGAGGTCCCATTATTTGTTGTTGATTGGTAAACATCATGTTCTGTTGTTGATTCATTAAACCCTGTTGCTGTTGCTGCTGTTGCAATAATTGTTGTTGCTGCTGTGCTTGTTGAGGTGCTTGCTGTTGTTGTTGCTGCTGTTGTTGCTGCGGTATCATTTGCTGACCTCCATATCCTGCATAATTTTGATTCATTCCTACAAAAAAATATTGTATATAAAAGATCCGAATAGTTCCTATGCAAGAAAATAAATTGTAAATGATAATTACCTTGTTGCATTCCAGTGTAAATTCCTTGTTGCTGTGGCTGTTGTTGTTGCTGTTGCGAAGCGAACATTCCCTGTTGCGGATTGATGTTTGGAGCTCCATGCTGGGCTCTTAATTGCTGCCTGATAAATTGTTGTCTTTGCATACCTTGGAAACCTGATCCACCGACAGGTGCAGCATTTGGTTGTTGCTGAGAACTTATTAACTGATTATTCGGTAATCGTAAACGTAACATATGAGAAAGAGCCTGTTTTGACTGATTGTTCATGCCAGGTCTATCATATCTTGGTCCAACTGGAGTTGGTGGTAATTGCTGACCGTATCCATATTGTTGTGCTGGCGCGTGAGTTTGTTGATTAGCATACCATGCTTGCTGATGTTGAGGTGGTTGACCAGTAAACATTCCAGGTTGTTGAGAAACAGGTACTTGTTGATTTCCAAATGCTATCTGTTGTAATTGGTTTGCTGGTTGCTACATAACATACGCATAACATTGAAAAAAAAAACTGAAAATGCATAATTCAATAAATATTGAAATTTAGTAAGAACCTGAATTTGTTGCGATACAGGTGTAGTAGGCGTAGCTGCTCCTTTATTTCTCCTGTGCCTTTTAGATTTCATAGCTTTCCCTTTGCCATTGGTAACAGCAGTACCGATTGCATTACCGCCAACGCTACTTGGTACTCTTCCAGGAGAATCAATACTCATTGGAGTATCAGCCTTTCCAGGCTCAGATTCCTTTTTGTCTGGCTCTAAATCTTCTGCGGGTAACGGTGGTGGATCTAAATAATGGCTAGGTGGTCTAATCTGACTGTGAGTATGGTAACGTAGAAGCTTATGCGCATTTTGGTACGTGAGAGGTTTACGTTCCAATCTGACTGCTCTAAACCAAGCCCAAGATATTGGTGCCGGATTTTTATGACCTTCCAGTACTTCCCAAGCAGATACCCTTTGAGAATCACACACTTGCAAGCCCTGTTTTTTATCGATACTGTCGAATCCAGCTATCTTATTGCCCTTCGTGTCTGTTAGACATCCGACTGGTTCACACGTAATGACTTCCATCGTCAATTTCGGTAAAGGTAACAATTGTCTAACGTATTTAATACTTGGAGAATTTCTATCACCAAGTTCTTTTTTTAATTTTTTCATCAAATTTTGATAATGTTTCTTATTCTCATCTTTTTCAGATTGTGAATCGGAGACTAGGGTAGAGTGTATTAGGGTTGCTAACATATCTATGACAGTAGTGAATAATTCAAAATTATTATTTAAATCTATAACGCCGTAGCTAACTAATTGAACTAAGAGAATAGCCCAGTCAGTGGTAGCAGTTGTATTCCTTTGTATCGTGTCGAAAACTCCACCAACAAGACTAAATCTTAATTGTAATGCATCCTGTAACACCTCTCTAGTTTTAGGATCTTCAGTAGCAAAGTTTTTCTCTTCTTTAGTAATATTCAAAAACTGCGTCAGCTGTGAATGTAGTGACATTAGTAAACCTTCCCTTTGATCATCTTGGCCTTTAAGACAAGTTAGTACTAGCGAGAGGAATGGTTGATGATTGAAGAGCGACGGTGATTTTGATCTACTTCTTTCACGACCGGCAGCTGTTTTCGACCAATTACCAGATTCCAGTACTTGACCAGCTACTTTGAGAACTCGACCTTGCACCGCACTTGGTAACTTTGAAACAAGCGGCGCAACTAACCATATGGAACCAGATCTTTTGTCTGATTTACTGGACATTGTATTTAATTGGAAAACGTCGATTGCAGCTTTAGCGACAGTATCTAACCACTGTGAAAGGTCGCTCGATCCTGGGGGAAACTGTTTGTACATAAGTTGCAAATCGAGCCACGACATTCTTAAGCTCCATTGCTCTAGATTTTCCAAGATGTTCGTTATGTGAGTTTTTTGGTCGATAAATGCGTCTATGGAAGTCTCTGGATAACAGATCATATGGAGTAATCGTTGAGCTTGCCGAGGCGTTAACATATTATCAAGTAACATGTCAGGATGACAAAGTTCTTCTGGATTTTGTAAACACCTCTCTAGTACCCATTCTTGGCTACAGATTTGTCTTAAAACGTGCTGTGCGAAATCTGATAATCCTTTAACATTTTCGGTAGTCATTCCAGCACTGCTATTAGACGAAGACATCGCTAAGTCAAGTCCTAAGTCATCGCCACCTCCTAGAATGTCACTGGTACCTAAGATATGACTGATAGATAATTCACTTGATCCACCAGTGTTCACACCAACACCAACACCAACACTAGCTGGTCCACCTGCTTTGTTAGAATGATTCATCGGTACGTCTGGTTTCTTTGGCGGTTGCTTACCGGCTGTTGCATCAGCAACAACGAGGATAGCTTTAAGAACTGCTAACACCGGACCAACTCTGATGTTGTTATGAGCAGCTGCCAGTAAGTGTCTATCACAACTTAATTTTATACTGTAACCCCTGGAGTTTCCATTCGGTAAGGGGTGAGGGCTTGTACTCACAGAATACAAAGCTGGTTGAGGACATTCGACTGTTTTAAAAAGACGTAAAAGCAAATGACACGTTAAACGTGCTCCAGCTTCAGCTTCCATGTCTGCGTCTCCACGACCCTCGTTACAAGCTTTAACTAAGGATGGCAGTGCTATGTGCACAACAAAATCTTCTAAAGAAAAGCAGTGTCTTGCTGCAAAAATAAAATACTATTAAAAGGCAGACCTATCCTGGTTCCTCCATAGTTACACCAATGATTGTAACATAAAATTATTATCAAACATAAAATACTTACCAATTAAAATTGATGTGAACACAGCTAGAGAATTGTGTATGCTTAAATCTTGTACATCAACTTGATTTAGAACATCAATATAAAATGCAGAACTGCCCGAAGAACAACAGAGTGCCATAAGGACACCTAGCCACTCGGCATTAAGAGCATTGCAACAAGCTGTTAATTCTGCGCACGTTATCGCAATATCGTTTAGTTTATCATTATCTGTTTCACTACAAACTGCAACAATTGCGTTGCAAACAAAACTATAACGATTCGCCGGTGTCTCGTTTAATTGTCTAGCCCATTGTGGTTCGATTTTTCCTCCCCGCCTTGGGCTAGTAAAAACATCCACCATAAATTGTGAATTATATACATGACTCGATGTAGTCGGTTGCAACGTACTGTAAAGGGCTGTTCGAATTTTAGGATAAGCATTACTAAATGCTTCTACTCCGTGCGGCTTTGTTTTTAACAAAGAACAAGACGAGTATAAATCGTACAGATGCGCTAATACACATCGTTCAGCAGAACTGCAATCGCTAGGATTTGATACGTGTTTCACAACTTTACAAAGTAAATCAAATACTGCCGTTGTTTGTTCTGGAGACACTGAAAAAGAATGAAATCAAGTGTAGTTATTGTTTATAAAATTTGAAAATTTGTTTCAATTTCACCTGTCAATACTTACACAATAAACAACAATGATATCTTCTTAATACGCCTACAACATACAGACTTAAACTGGTAGTATAACTTCTAACAAGCTGACTATTTCTAACCGTTAATTGTGCTTCAACTTCGGGTAATTCCTTTAATATCTGAATACAAACGTCTATCAAACCATATATATTTAGAGCTAGTTCCATCAGGTCGAACAAAAAGGCTACATGTTCTTGCACTGGTAAATAAGACGACCCAGCCAATGCAAATGTATTTAACATTTCAATAACCTGAGTGGCGCACTGCCATGTTACTACATGCTGATCAAAATAACTTAGATTCTGAAACTTTAAGGTGATCGCCTCAAAGTTAAATTCACTACGGGAATGTTTTTTTACTTTTCCACCTTCTGCAACATCGATACTAAACTTCTTTCCAAACAATTTACACACTTCTTTTGTCATCTTTTTAACAATGTGCCTAGCCTCGTCTCTAACACGACCTACTCCATATAATAGTACGTGTCGTTGATTACAATCATGTTGACTGCACGTTTCATCCTTTAAACATGACGATGAAAGATTTATAGTACATTTCATTGTATCGTTAAATTTGTATTATATATTAAATTTTGACAATTACCTGAGGTAATGGAAAATGCGTTGTGTATAATAAATGTCTACTATGACTCGATGGCATTTTAGAATCTAATCCCTCTTGGGTTCCATGTCCAGCTAATGCATCTTCTTTAGGACTGTCAGGGGCATCCATACTATTCTGTTGATCTTCTTTAATATGTTGTAACAACTTGTCTAAATCGTCATCAATTTTACTATCGTCGTAATCCATTGTACGTCCGTGATCTGTTACTTCTAACTTCGTTGGTTTTAAATCTATTCCTGGAAACAGGCTGTCTTCGTCAATTGGTTCCCGATTACTCGGTGTTCCGGGTTTGCTAGCCGCAGGACCTAAATAAAACAAGATGAAACTGAGAGAAAATTTAAAATATTAATTAAGAAGATTATAGTGTACCATACCTTGTATAAGGTCTCCTCTAGAAATAAGTGTACACATGTAAGCGTCATGTGAAAAAACATCATGCCTAATTAATTCTGAAAATAAGTGAACCAAATTCGTAAACTGAACTTTTGATTGAGTTGTGGTATTATCTAGTACCGGCGCATCCATGTCCAAAAATTTCATGAGTAATGGTTGAAATATCGGAAGCACAGGCGGACTTCCGTTACTACAGATGCTATCTTTATCATCATTATCATTTGTTTCTCCGGTAACTTCGCTTTGTCTTTTCTCAAGTAATTTCGCAACTGCCATCGCTCTATGTTCTCCCCATCGTTCAGCGCTTACAGCCCACTCGCATAAGATTTCAACTACAGCGGAATCTTGTTGCGGATTGTATTCCGGTTTTGTCTCTCGTTCATTGGTGGTATCTTTTGGCGGTGATGTAAATATTTTACCATATAAAGTATCTAACGAGTTGGTAGAATCCATTCTATCAAAGCTATGCCGATCTAAAGCATCTAACGCAGCCAATACTTTAGTCGTTGTTATACCAGCGCTACTTTGCTGCCATTTATCGCACGACCATTTCCCTTCAGCAGCTTGAGATCTTGCTCGAATGTTTTCTTGAGCGACTTTTAGCTGTTTTAGTGTAGGATTAGTTGTAGTTGCGGGTGGAGATGGTAAAGTTGTCGGAGGACACGGTAAATAATCCAACGGGGAACCATTTAATACTGATGGAGCTTTTCCTTCGCCGACGCTATTCCACACTAATGCTGTGGGACATTCTAAAGTAATAACCTAAACAATAACCAATTTGTTCATGTATTATGTTAATAAAATAAATTATGACATCTGTTACGCAACAAAAATTTGTTACCTGTATTATTGTTGATAAACTATAAATCACGTCTCTGTGATGCGGACATGACAAATAGTCGTTAAAAGCAGCAGTTAATGGATTTTGTACGTGACTAGCAGTGGCAGTGTCTTTTCCACCATTAACTTCGCTTTTAGTTATGGACGGACTTTGCGGATTGCCATTAGTTTCTACATTACTACACATATGCGCCAATTTACGACAACACAGATACGCCAAACGTCTGGCTAATAATTCAGACTGCACAAATTCTTCTAAATATTGTAGCGCTAGTGGCAACAGAAGTTTTAAAATACCATCCTCTAAAGGAGAAGATTTAATTTTGTCTAATAATTCTAAAATCCATTGTAATAATTCTTGCCTATCTAGTAATCCCTCTTCAAACATGTACTTTGCCAATTGTACACAATAATGCCATTGTTTCAATGCTAATTTATGTTCTTCGTTCATGACATTTCCTGTTGTCACTTGATTACTTGAATTTGGTGTAGCTGGCTGATTATTAACAACTCCATTATTATTAGTAGTATTATTATTAACATTACTGTTACTGTTGTTGTTACTGTTGTTGCTTCCAGTACCATTGCTATTACAGGAATTATTTGCTATACCATTGTTGCTAATGCTATTCGTTATATAATTATTTAAATAATAATATTCCTGTAGTTTTGAAAGTTGATCTTTTAAGAACTTTATGAGGGTTCCTGTCCATTCTAAATGAAGGAGCAAAGAAATATTATTAATTAAAATTATGATATATATACATATTAATTCTCATACTTCTTGCTATGATGTATTTTGCATGTACTACAAATCCTTAAATTATGAATTTATTTACCTGTAGTTGGATCAGGCAGCTGCCTCTTTTTTATTTTGGCTTCAGAAACTGCTACTGTATAAGCAGAACTAAGTTTAATGAACCAGGCTGCTCTGAGCATCGGTACTTGATACTCGCAAAGCATCATAAATATTTCTTCCTTTTTATTAAAGTTAGGAGCTTTCTTTGCAAGAGCTATTAATGGTTTACAACCAGACAGATCTTTAAACCATGCCTCTATGCCATTTTTAGTTCTTGCAGTTACTGGCCAGAAGTTATCCTTAGGATTGATCTGTTGCCTCTTTCTTCCTGTGTCCGGCATGGTAGAGAGCTCTTCCTTTTTTGCAAGAATTGCATTGAAATACGCTCCCACTTTAGCAGCGGTGACATTACAATGTCTTGCTGTCCCAAATTCATCTGATAACTGAGGCATCGTTGCAAAGCCATGTTTGACGTTTATAGAACTGAGTTCGTCCTCTTTCTGTTTGGGTTCTTGAGGATAGACGTCAGGCGGCCCTAATCTAGGCCGTTTTAGTGGCCGTTTTTCATACAATATTCCCATCATGGTATAAGGAAATGATCAGAATCAGAATCATAATAAAAAAAAGAACACTTCAAAATTTATAAACTCATTTTTTAAAGTTCCTTACGAGATATAACCTGCGTTAATGACATATTTACAATTACCCAACACCGTAAACGGTAACGCAACGACAGAATGCGACAGAACCACTATGCGTATAGACTAGACTTCCAGGTGGCGCGTTGAAGGCGTAAAAATGTGTCCGGGTAACTATACTTTAAGTTATCGTATTTATTCATTACAGTAAATTAATCTGAATGAACCAAACAAGTAGCTGCATATCTCAACATTCTCAAAATATAACGTAATATTAGTATATACAACTGTAATGCTTTTTAACAGTTTAAGAATTTATGTTCATATTATGCATAAATACCATTAAATGAGGAAATTGTTAAAATTTTTAAATAAACAGAATTTGTAAAGCAAAGTAAACTATTTTTACATTTAATTTGTTGGGAAATATGATTGTTAATTCTTTCTAGTATATATTTTAAATTGTCTAATACCAACTATAGCAGAAGCTGAGCTCATACAATGTTGCAACTCCCTAAATCTCGGATTATTCACACGACAACTAAGTTGCTGGCTCGAAATCTCAGATTTTTCATTGGACAACAATACTATTAAGCCCGATACCTCAAATTTCTCATTTAGCAACAATGTTGCGAACAATTAACTCTCGGAATGCGAGTGTAGCAACAATGTTGCAAGTCCCTTTAAGGAAAATGGTAGTCTAAATTCAATTGGCTTATTTGTTACATCTAAACTGTTTGATCAGACGAATCAGTCTCCCACATCTAATTTTATTTCATTTTCTTCTATCTCCAATGTAAAAAATTGGATTTGGACCGCCATTTTCCCTATAGGGACGCCGAGCGTCATCGAAAGTATATCGCAGTTCACCAGAGTCCATAACTGCGACGCGCAGGTGGAGGAACTTAGCGAGCCTCGAACTCCCACTCCGCTAGTCGCTTAAACCGCGAGTTTAATATACAGGATGAAACAATAGTACGGTTGAATAGGAAGAATACAGAATGATACACGTGAGTAAAAAACCGTGCTACCCGTTATACACTCCAAATGATGCACTTTCGCGTAGATGCACCGCGTGGAGGCGCCACAGCGACATTGCGCAAGCGTATGGAAGTGGGAATATCGCCAATCAGGGCGAAGATGCGTACTGGAGATGCGCGAAGAACGAAAACTGGTCTTTTCGCAGTTATGGACTCTGACTCTGATGAACTGCAATATATGTACATACATACATACATACATACTATGTACATATGCATGTGTTTGCTGACAACCAAGTTGGTCAAATTGATACTAGTTCAATAAAATTCCTAGAAATTAATCATAGTTACTCGTAAATCGAATTGTAAGAATTATTCGTTATTTGAAGCTTCTTGCTTAGTATTTCGTTTTAATTTATCTTTCTAAATGTTCGGGTGAAAAAAATCAGTTAAATGTTTAGTTTTAAATTTAAGTGTTAATTTTTAAGACTTGTGATAACTGTTTATAAACGGTGACATACGTAGTGACTAATAGAAGCGTTTGTCTACTTGTTGTGCCGATAAAAGCTAAATTATTTTCCATATTTCAGAATTAAATAACAAATGTAAATCATTTGATTGATATCCTTTATTCCGGTAGTTTCCAAACGCGTGTAATAGCAAATATGAACTGTTACTAATCTAAGAAAAAATAAATTTGGTAAGTATATATCTTAACCCTTTCGACCAGCGTTTTTCCTGTTTGGATTTTATCTTTTTTGTTTTATTGCCTAGCTAAAGATTATCCTACACGTTACTATGTTGTTTACTGTCATAGTTGTCAATCAAAGATAGTAGTATATAGTCAAATAAAAAAACATACAATAATGCATACATGTGGCACGTATTGTCATTGACACAGAAAGGGTCAAAAGGGTTAAAAGGAAAGAAAAATGACGTATAGAATATAAATAAATATATCATTGGACATTACTGAGGTTCAATAATTGATGTGAGCAGTAAAATATTATTATATTCCATTGTATTAATAATTGCTGGCAAATTTCAGAGAGCTGGTAAAAGGATATTATATGCTGTACTTTAATTTAATTATTTCATTAAAACAATATAATAAACATGGAAAGTGAAATTATCTGTATTTCATCAGATGATGATGAAAGTATGGAACATGTATGTGTATTGCATATATTATAAGTACTACCAATCAAACACGAAAAAATTGAAAAAGTTATAATTTCCTGATTGTTTTAGAATAAAACTAATAATACAAAATCATCGGTCATCAAACAGACAAAGGATGAGCATTCTTCTTCTATAAAAGAGAGAAGTACCTTGAGTCGAAATGAAATTACGAAAATTAATAAGAAGAAGAGGAAAATATCTGAAGTTATTGACGAAAATGATGCTTGTTTTAAGAACCAAGCAAAAGTGATTATGTGCACAGAGGATAGTATTACTAAACGAGATGCGATAAAAAATTCTGATGAATTACCAACTGTACAGAAGGATAACACGTTATCCTCTGACGAGGATGTAATGTTATTAAAACCAAAGTTAGTTGTAAAAGAAAAAAAATCTATTTTCCTAGAGGAACAAGATATATTTCCCATGTTCATAAGTTTATGTTTGCAAAAAGACCGTTCCGAGGACATGAAAACTGTCGTTAATAAATTAAAAAGACGTTATGAGCATTTGGATCCTACGTATGCTACTTCTGAAACTTTCATAAATTTGTTAAACGAAAAAAGAAATGATATTATGCTTAGCAAAAACAAGTTATATATACATATTGCTGAGGTAATGAACGAAATGAAAAACAATTGTAAAAAAAATTCAGCTTTGTTAACAAATGGCGCAAATTGTGTTACTAATATCAATAAATTGAATACTGGTAACAGTTCGGCTAAGACATTGCGTTCAAGTACGTCACATAATACTGTTAGTGATAATGAAGAAATGCTTACTGCAGGTGAGAAAAATGATAAGGATGAAAAAAGAGATGGAAAACATAATTCTCAAAGGAAAATTAGAGTAATATTAAAAGCAATGAGAAAATGTGAAAAGTATATTAAACTACTGGAAGAATCGGAAGTAGATTTTGACCAGGAAAATAATAGTAACTACATTAAATTGGAAAGGTATAAACATCGAATAGTAGAACTTCATCAAATATATTGTGAATGTATTGGAGAAAGTGCTGATGCAGGACGACAATATTTACGACCAAAACACTTCAGTACAACCGGAATTGTTTCTGTAGATCATGCTATTACAAGTTTCATCAATTCCAAAATGTCGAAGAGAAGCAAATTGAAAAAAATTGGCGCTTTTACGAATGCATTAATATTTCCAGATTACCGGGACATCTTAGAGTGTGTTACAAAATGTAATGAAATGAATAATTTAGGTTTGGATAATAAAAAGCAGCAACAGATTGGTGAGTTACAACTGATTATAAATTACAACCGAAATTTATGTATTATAACTGAATTGTAATTTCGCTGTTTATATTTAATATTTGTTATAGCGAAAAAAGCATTTACCGAATTAGGAGAATATTTACAACGTTCTAGACGTAACGATTATTGGGATACATTTTCTTTATTTTTTGAAAACAAAGATGATGATGATCCCGCTTTAAAAGATCGACAGTTAGCGGAAAAATTGATGCAGAATAAACAAGAGGGTGAGAAGAGGTTGGCAAATGTATTTCAGGAGTATGTGAAGAAACAAGAGGAGAAGAACGATCATTCTACTGATTCTGAAACATCATCGGAAAATGAAGAAAATGAAGAAGATTGCACAGAAAATGAAGATATGGATATTAATAATGAAACTGATAACATTAGCGAGGATGGTACAAGTTTGAATAATGATGATAATAAAGCTAGTACAGATGAGGATGAAAATGGTATAGATGGAAGTAAACAATCTGTAAGTAAAATGGATATTAATAATAAACCTAGTGTAAATGAAGTTCAGTATAATGTTATAGAAATACGCGAAAAACAGCAAACAAAATCTAATAATAAATTAAAAGACAATGTTAGTAACAACAACTTAAAAATAAAACAAGTTGATATTGATGAAAATATATCTAAATCTGAACACACACAGTTAATAAAAGAAAATGAAACAATACAATTGTCTGATACAGTGCCACATAATTTAAATACTTCGCCTGGTTTAATACCGTTAACTACATTATCTATGTCAGATAATAAAATTCCTATTGAGAAAGCAAAAGGTTAGTGTACAAATGTACTATTAATAAAGAAGAATTAATCATGAAAGAATGAACAGTGGAATTTAAGGTTTATTATATCTGTGTGTTGTAGAGGATGATTCTAACATTATAAATGAAAAATTAATAAATGAACCGCCATCGGAGGAGGAAAAACCATTGTTACGAGTACGTTCTTTTGCTAAACTTCCTGGGACATGGAAAGACATTCAAGAAAAAGTAGGCCAACTAGATAAAAATAATGATCTTATAGATCTTACACAAGAATCACCAAAACAAAATTCTACTGCTCATCAGCAAGCAAGTATTCAAAGTAAATCTAAGGTACTTCCTACTACGAAAGATAAACGCAAAATGTTAGTAATACCATCAGGTAAACATATAATTAAAGTACAAAATGTCACAAACAATTATATGAGAATTGGTTCTAAAAGCTCAATGGATTTTAATAATAAAGCTAAATTGCAAAAAGAAGTTGTTACATCTTCGTACCAAATAGTAGGTAACAGCAGCAGAACCACTACTATACGCCTACCACCAAATCAAAATTTTAATCGGGAAACGAAGGATAATAATCAGGGAAATAGTTCACAAGCAAAAAAGAAGAATATTATCGTACAGGTACCTCAGGCCGCTCAAATTGTACTTTTACTCGGCAAACAAAAGGAAAAAAGTTTGCAACAGTCAAAAACAAACGTATCTGTGTCACAGTCTAAATGACAGAAACAGAAACTGAAGGTAATTCATCTTGATCATTGTTATGTTAAGTTATTAACAAATGACAGATGACCACTGACTTATGATAAATGTAATAAGTTTTTCAAAATAAACCATTTGTAATTACCAATACTGTATTAGTACATTAGCATGTTACATTGAATAAATTTTTGTATGAATAAAAACATATTTATGGTTTTTGTATGCTAAATATTTTTATTACTTATATGTAAATTGTTGATTTTATTAATTTATTAAACCATGTTATAGTAAAAGTTGGATTACTACCCGAAAATTGGGACCCAAACCGGGCATTATCAAGCGGAAGTGCTTTTTTGGTTCTTAGAAACGGCTTGGGCCGAGCGTTTGAATATTGCTGAACTTAAAAAAAGACAGAGAGCGCAAGAGAAAAAGATTCGAGAATCAATAAAAACTTTTATTGTTGTATTAATATTGTCTCATCGATATTGCAGTTCAGATCAGGTTACACTATTCGCTTGTCCAGCTTCGCAATTCTTCAAGGAGATCCCCTTAGGTGGTGAATTCTCTTGAATGGTTCCCGGGGATGGTAACCGGGTAGTTATCCAATGGATCTGCCCGGGTACTTATCCAACTTTTACTGTATTCAGTATAATTTTTGTCAAAACAAATTCTTCATCTGTAAATTTTTCCACGATATCAAAATGATCGATGTTATCTCGAAGAAAAATATATTGAACGTTATCCACTATTGTAATAAGTTTCTAAAATAAAAATAAAAATCATAAATTTCTGTCAGTAGAACATCATCCAGAATAGATAAACCCAATTATTTATTTATCTAGAGTAGTACCTGAGCACATTCTCGTGATTCATTGATAAGCCCTGGTGAATCACATTCTGCAACAGTCACAATAACTTTCACCCCTTGAATTGGTTTATTGTTTTTAGTATCTAAAGTGGTAAAGCTGTACTCCACGATTTCATCTCTAAAATGTACAAAGCAGATTATTAGGAAACAATTTATTAGAATTTTTCAATACTTACTTTGTTAATTTCAAATTGTCATTAATGGTGGTATTAATCAGAGGTTTTAAATTAAATACACCGCCTATTAAAATGACACCTTTTAGTAAATTTAAATATCCACTTTTTGTTATTTTTTCCATCCATAATGGATCAAATAAAAGGCTTGAAGCCAAATGTGCACCAGCACTATGACCAGATATCCAAACGCCCCTGTATGAATTTATTCAATGTTATTATTTTATATTATTTCTTATATACATATATAAATACAGTCGATTTATACGTATATATATATCGTACCGACTTCCAAGAGTTAAAGCATATTTCAATATTTGTTCAATCGCCTTTTTTATTTGTGATATTATATCTCTAAGTTTGACTGAAACACAAAAAGAAAATAAATTGGAACATTATCTTTAAATTTTTATTTAGAGGTAAATAGAAAAGAAAAGGAAATAAATTTACCATTAGGACATAGATCATAGCCAACGGTAATAACTTTAATCCCTTTGCAAATTAAAACAGGAGCCGCGAATGCTGCCATGTCTTTACTACCTTCTTGCCAATAACCTCCGTGAATGAACACAAATATTGGAGCATCTAAAATATCATAAATCTGTCAAGTTAATGATTTTAAATTATTCAAACAATTTTGTACCTTTGGGTAAATCGATTCCATATATGTCATATTTAGTTCGATCCGTTGTTCCGTACGCAACATCCAGTTCACATTTCAAGGTTTTACGAGCATTTTCGGTCACTATAATAATAAATCAATTCAAACGATCGTAAAGTAATTTAATTTTTAAAATTCATACCTTCTTTGGCGAATTTGTAATAGTGTGCCAATACTTCCGCGTGGCCCAATCGTTTGCTCCATTTACTCGGAGTGTAATTAACTTCCTGCTCCTAAAAAAATCATACTTATGTAAAAACAATAAAATTATTAATCAATATAAACTTACGGAAATTGACATCTTCGATCGGCAAGTATAAAAATGGAATTTCAAAAAAAGAATTTTCAACACTAATCAAGCAGTTGCTTTAATAATAAAGATGTTTTCTTCTCTATCGATGGATCACTAAAATTTTAATTTGATTAACAATATTTACAGATGGACAGAAATCTTTTTAGAAAACACGATTTACGATGGATAGTTACAAACTATCAACTGCAATATGTTCTCTAAGTTTCATCTAAGTCATTACATCGTATGCTATTTGAGAGTACTGGGTGGTTGCAGATCGCGCCACTGTTATTATACTTATTACCAACAAACGCGAGTGTATTAGCCACAGTGTACTAGTCTACTGTTTTGCAACAAATCGAACCGATAATGTTACTTATTAATTCAATGATTTTGTATTTTTAAAATAGTTACGAAACAGCAGGTATTTAGCACATCTATATTATACAAATGTATGTATGCCTTTTATTATATTCATCAGATTATTTTGCTTACATAACACCGTTCAACACGAATTTTGTTTTCCAATAGCCATTGGGTGATCGTTGTAGAGCTTCTCATTCTGAACACGAATCCGAAGACCGAATTGCTCTGTTACCCTCAGTTTTCGAAAAACACAAATTTTTGTAAAAACGTGTTGGGGGGGGGGGGGGGGGGGGGGCGCGGAAACTAAAAGCGCTAGGACATTCGCATTGGTCTTAAAAGATAAAGGAGAGGTTCGCGGACATATTGATATATATAGTTATTATATTACGTGATTCTGAATAGATGTAAATGTCGATGAAAGTTTTAAAAACAGCCGACGCACGCATTTCCTACGTATTACTTTTGTTCCTTATCTAGCGCGAATTCTCTATACAGTACCGAATTCTGTAGACATTTCCGAAGAAGAAACTATGGGGGGAAAGTGTTGGAGCAGTATGCAATTCGAGTAAATCGAAAAAATATCTGCCGGTGACGCGTGCACGGCGTTTTGCCGTCAGACGGCCATAGCTCGTTCTCTTCTCATTAAAACGTTTTATTACTACAAATGTGTAAGACATGTATAATACATAAGAAAATAAACTAATTAGGTAAATAATTTAAAAATAAATGCAACTGTACACCATTTAGCTTAAAGGTTATTACTATAACCTTTAATAGAATCAAAGCGAGAGAATATATCCCAATGTGGTCAATGTATTAAAGTAGAAGTGAATAAGGCAGAAGTCATGATCGGCGTAGCGACGCAAAGGGTGAAATATGTAAGAAATATGTGTGCGTTTAAAATATACACATCCTATACCAGATTCATGGAGAAGGTAGCGGAGAATAGGGTACGAGGGTCGAAGAGATTGAAAACCAGAAAAACCGGTCTTTCCTTTTGGCCCCACTCTTTCGTAATGTGCACACCATTCTCTGTGGAGGAGTCACAGGTAGGTCCATAGCAGCTGATGTATCGGGTATCGTGCCACGTCGACGCCTACCCACAGACCACAGGTAAGAGAAACCTTTTCCAGTCAAAAATTCGTCGGTTGAAGGGATATTTTGCTCGAGAGAGCTGAGTAATATACAATAAAATGCAAGCAGTGGGATTGTTGACTCCACTGTTCTACCATCGTCGAACTCAGTATTTACTTGACCAACAAACGGTCACGATAATTGCTCAATTCAGAAATCCCTACGAGATGTTGGCAAAGGGAAGAGCTTTTGACAATTTAGCAGACAATGAATAAAGCGACGATAAGTTCATATGGTAATTCCATAAAGCTGGAAAATAAATTTGAGTATCTTTTCTGGTCGCCTTGATGGTCCTTCTCAGCTTACATGTTTTGTAACCGGTTCTCCAGTGCATACTGGGTTAATTTATTTGACCTACCAACTACTACGTTCATTTCCAATTAGTTTCCACGACGTTAAGTAGGTATCCTTTTATATGCATTGTCTTCGCTGGAATTCAGGATCACGTCGTTAAATCGTGCTATTAATAGTACAATTCTATTGGTAACTTACAAGTTGATACTGTATTATGGAACATAGGTGTGAAGCCCATCACTAAAATGACAATAAATATTTCCCTACGTGTCCACATTCCTTTCCCAGCCTATTTAAACTTTTAGCAGGTAACCGGTAAGAGAAAGTATTGCCGAAGGGCGATTGGTGCTTTTTGAATGTGGAGGAAACCAACTATTTCCTTGAAGGTATTTCGATCTGATAAGTCTCAAGATATTTGAACTTGACTTAATGCAGCAGAAGTTACAAGACAACATATTCTTACCAACGTGCCCGTCAAGTGGAGTAAGATGGAGATCACGTTTCTGATGATTCTCTGGAAGAATGGAGAGACAGCACATTTTCGTTGGGCAACATATTTTCGTTGTCAAACCTGTTTGGTCCTGCCTGTCTATTCTTACCTTGAAATAGTGTGAACGATCGCTGAAAGTATGCATAGCTGTACCGTGAAGAAATTTCTCATGTAAAAAGTAACTCAAGTACTACAAATATAAAAAATATTTTCATTTAAGTTTGCTGTTAATTGTAAATTACAGTATGGTAAATGAGGCTTTCTTTCATTTTTTGTTTTGTTAAATAGTTATGATTAATGCAAAATATTGAAAATTTTGGGTAAAAAAGAACTTCGATCCTGCCAGGATTCGAACCTGGAATCTTCTGATCCGTAGTCAGACGCGTTATCCGTTGCGCCACAGGACCGTCCTTGATTTAGTATTTTATCTATTATTACAAGTGGTACAATTAACGAATGTAATTAAAATATATCAGTACAGCATTTCTTAAACTAATAAAGATAATAAAACATAAAATGTTTTAAATTATTACCGTGTGTCCGATTATAATTTACGATACAGTATAATCTGGCGTAACAGTACGCAATTATTGGTACAAACAGTTATAGAATAAAGTATTGATTTCTATGTTTTATACGCACTTTCCCATGTTCTGGATTCAATCTTTTATTCTGGGAACATCAATACTGGTCCAATTATTTCCTGACAGTTACATCATTTGATCGCACATAACATGATGCAGTAAAATTATCTTGTAGAAGGCCTTAAATAGAATGCAGTATCATAAGTTCTTTTAATTGATAGCAATAGCACGTGTAACATTGCAGATGTGTAACGATAAGAATGCTTGCGGACAATTTACTTTGCAATCTGATTCCTTTGTTGGCGAATGGATTGTACTCATAAATTCGTAGAATTCTAAGGTCTATCAATTATTAAGAAATGCTAATTCAACTGAAACTATGATTTCTTTGTTGATTTCACATTAAATAAGATTTATCAAATTTTAAATTTTTAAGTCTCTTTTTAAAGTCTCTAATCAATAGAGACTAATTAAAAGGTAGCAATTATTTATTAGCGATGATTGTCGTCCACCGCAATATCAGCTTAGATCGGTGTAAAATTTCACACGCAAAACGATATGTAAAGCTTGGTATTTGTAATATGAAACATATAATTTATACAGTATCGTTAACTGTTTCGTGTAATATATACCGATTATGTGTTCTACATTTCGTTCAATATGGATAAGACTGATAAAAAGTACATAATACAACAGATTTGGCGGCATAAGACGGAAAGCTGGATAAGTACAGTAACAATTATGATTACCGGTAAAGAAGTAATCTATAGTTACCTATTTGCTGGATAACTGTTCTATCTCGATAACTATTCTATTCAAACTGTTTGTCAATTCGGTTCCAAGCGACATTAGTTCAACTTCCGTAAGTACAAGAGAATGCAAATCTAGAAAAAGACAGAATTACCCTTAATGTAAATTTACACGAGCAAATATTGTCAATCAACTTTTCTTAAATTTGTGCAATATTGTGCATGAGAGAAATGCGAATCTCTCTTTTTTTTTGGCTACGCGTGTGTACCGAACAGTAGAGACTTTACTGGAACCGACGTTAACCGAGTTCGATCGAATTCATACGAACAAGCCCAAGTTTCCTGTGATCCAGAGCCGACGCGGCGGTTGAAAAAGACGAAAAGTGGGGTTAGGTTGTAGTAGAGGGACGAACGATAGAGAGAGAGAAGTTTTCTCGTGTCGTAAAAGTGGGGATAGAATCTCAGTGTGCAGCAGAAGCAAACATATAGTTCTGCGTCCCCGAGCAGGCTGTGTGGGATCGACGTTGCTGGACAGAGAAAACGTTTCGTAAAGCGAAAGAGAGAAGAAAAGAATTACCGACGAAGGAAGGTAGAAAGAGAAGAGAAGAAAAGGGAGCAACAGCTTGTGGAACGGCATGTCCTCGCGTGCTTGTGTCGTACAGCGTTTCTGAACGCAGCCATTACGACAGAACCGCTCTCGGTGACGCTTTGCTGGCGGTGGAGCTGTGCTCACGCGCGCAGTGGTTACGGAACGATCGGAACGAAACGCACGTGTCTTTTTCGGTGAAAAAGAAATTCGTAGTGAGAAACGGTAACACGAGGGAGAGACTACTGAACAAAATTATTAAAGCGTGTTTCTGTGTGTGTGTGTGTACAAGAGGCTTAGAGACGCCTCTTGGCGCGCGGCGTCACGTCGCGCGGGCATTAATATCTCCAAGTGTCCAATTATTCAATTAGTCGATTATTTACGATTGTAAAAAATCGTGAATCTTTGAACAACACGATTCGAAGAAGAAACAACAAACAACAACAATCATGTTTGACGTATTCGGCTCCGTAAAGGGCTTGCTCAAGCTCGACTCCGTGTGCATCGACAACAATGTGTTCCGACTGCACTACAAAGCGACGGTGATTATATTAATCGCTTTCTCATTATTGGTCACGTCTAGACAATACATAGGAGATCCCATAGATTGCATCGTAGACGAAATACCACTTCACGTGATGGACACGTATTGCTGGATTTATTCGACGTTTACGATTCCCGATCGTACCGGCATCGTCGGCAAAGACATCGTACAGCCAGGTGTAGCATCCCACGTTGAAGGGGACGATGAAATTAAGTACCACAAATACTATCAGTGGGTGTGTTTCACGCTATTCTTCCAAGCGATACTATTTTACGTGCCACGTTATCTGTGGAAGACCTGGGAGGGCGGTAGGATCAAGATGTTGGTCTTGGACCTTAATTGTCCAGTGATGAGCGAAGATTGCAAA